TTGTAAGTAAAGCTACCATTTACGCCCCATAGCATCGGCCTGTGCAGAATTAAACATTTAACATACAAAAGTTGAAATACCGAATTAATAACATCCAAAGTTGCGCGCATACGATTATTAAGACCTTCATTATGAAAACACTGTAACTCAAACAAAGTTTATGGAAACAGGTCAGAAAATATAAGCCATCATATCTTCTACAATGGTTTGAAGGGAGATGCATAGTTAAACATAAATAGTGTGTTAAAGCAAATAATATTGCTTTTGTATCCTATATTGTTTTACTGTACACGTTTTACTGTCTGTAGATCGTCATATTTCTTTCTGATAAATTTCTCTTAGCATTTTTAATTCCCTACTTGGAACAATTTGCCTATGACGATGACCTTTTTTTATTTAATTCCTGTAACGTGGAATCACATTTGACGTTTGTCACTTTTTGGTACCATGCTTATAGCATCTGACGATTGAAGTACATATATGTAAGCAATTAAGATATCTATCATACATAAAATGTATATTATTTGATAATACAAATAATTCTAAATGATCTATTTTGCTTCTCCTTGATATTGGTATAAAATAATTCAATGTTATTTTGCAATGGTTTTATGATTAACATTTTAAGATTCATTTATGTATAGAACCAAGCAAAAAAATAAACCCTATATCAAATGTATAAATTGACAAAAAGATTTAACAAATGTAAGTACCGTTGAAAGGGACGCAATTCAATTTTAATATTAATTTTACGCTTGAAGAGTTATTCAATAACGTTCTATTGCCAGAGTTAGTTAAAAGGGACACAATTCAATTATTACATCAATTTTACATTTGAAGAGTTATTCATGAAACTAACGTATGTTGAATATTTATTTATATGGAATAAGTATGAAAGCATGAAAAACATGTGAAAATTCTTCATTTTGTATCGTTTTGTTCGGATTTTTTCTGTTGTTGTGGTGTTGAAAATAATATACATGTTTCTAAAAACAGAAGTGGTGTTACCTTTAACTAATTTTTACTTTCTTCAATAGTTTGCTCAAAAGAATAGATTACAATGATTTTTAAATGGAGGAAATATCTAATCGTAATGGTGAAACCATTCTTTGATTTCGAAGTAATAACGTCAATGCTCCCCAAGATGTCTGGTTAAATAAACTTCTGAATTCCAGAGGGGGCTAACATCTACATACAGGTGGCACACTATGTGACAACTTACCTGATTGGTCTACAAATTACAGCCAACAAGAATTTACTTAAAACATGTTTTAGGCTTGTCATATACATTATTCATGGAAAAAATAAGAAACAGCATGAAGATTTTCTATAATAATGGTGATTTCAATAAAAAAGTTCTACAAAGTATTAAAAGACTCAAAATACTACTATGAGACTAATCATATTTATAAACTGTATCAAATAATCTCAGGACATACTAAGTGTCTATAAAAATGTATCAATTAATTCTATAAAACGAGAGAAAAGAATGAAGTAACCATAAAACATAATATGTTTATATTTATTAATATGCATATTAACATGCATATCTAAGCAAGCTTAGTAATGTATATACAGCGCACTCTTAACGTTGTCTCAACGTCATAAGCGATGACGTCAAATACATACTGAAGCTTTTCATTTTGTTCGAAAAATTCCGGCTGTCCGCACAGTAAGTCTGCTAACAACTCAAACCTATTACTATTAAATTGTTGTTTGATTCAATTGAATGGGAAATAGAAAAATCATACTAAACATAATCAAATAAATTAAGGTGTAAAAAATGAATGCAATGTTTGCATATTATTTAAAGAAAATGTTGTAGTAAGTTGTAGTTTACCGTAACTAGATAAATCAGATCAAAATGCAATTGAATCCATGGACTCGGATTTAATAAATTTCAATCTCGTGATGAGAAAAGGTTTTAGGTAAATGAAATTGTTACTTCAAACAAATCTTTGAGATATATTTAAGTCATCAATTATCAATTAGAATTTTGTTAAAGAAAGATGCATTAAAATTGGTGCAAGACCGCACACGTCAGCACATGTTCAATCGCCGGATAATGTTTACGTCTTGCGTTCTATTCCACCAATGAGGTGTATCATTTAATAAAAAGAAATTTTCGGGTTTTATCATCAAATATTTTCGTAATATTTAGCAAAATTTAAAACTGCTTTTTTTGTTTTGGACAAAAAAACTTTGAGCAATTTTTTTCTATCACAAACATAACTCTGTAATCAAAACCCCGATAGTAGACGAAACCTAAAAAAATATTGCACACAAAAAAAGGTCGTTTATAAAGGCATCCGTCCGGGGTTCGTATAAATGCATTTGCAGGGTCGCATGGGGAAAGGGGAATTATTACAAAAAAAGGGGTGAGGTTTTTTCTTCTTTGCCAACGACCGTTGTTTCAAATAATTAATGCATTAAAATTCATTTTTACTTTTTTGAATGCATTTGAAAATTTTGGTAAAATGTAAAAAATTTACGGGAAAAAAGGCGATACTAAGTAACTTTTTATTAAATGTAAACATTAATAAAAAAATGGGTTTAATATTGATCCGTATACTGAAATTATTACTATTTTGTAATTGTGTTGGAAGAAGTTTGTTTAAAAAAATTTAAATAAAATAAAAAAAATAACATATTCAGTTATATGACAAGTCATATAGTTGTCTTCTTTATAAAGTGGGAAAAAAGAAAGACAGAAAAATGAAAAAAGTAATTAAGAATTGTGTCATCATGCCACGGATGCCCCCGCATGCAGCCAAAATTTCAAATGTTATAATATTTAGTTCCAAATTTGTTTGCACAAATTATTTTTTTCATTCTAGGTTCAAAGCACTTAAAACTTTTCAATGTTAACACAAACCATTTTTATACGATGTTCAAGGCACTGAAATTATTCAGTCTTAACTTTTTGAAAATAGCATATTGCATATTTGTAGTCAAAATAATGGCTATATACATTTCCACAAAAAGTATGAGTGCTGAAACTGAAAGTTCAAATTTTTCCAACATTCAGGAAAAAAATAAGTTTGATTCCAAAATCAAAATTGAACCTGGACCAAATTCAAAACTTAAACTGTTTATTCCTAAGATGTATCTATATTTATTTTCAAAGTAAAAGGGACAATAACCAAAAAAAATCATGTAACCATGACACAAAAATTTCCAAATAATTTGACCTGCGCTTCCTTTGACATATCCAAAATATGTCAATTTTTGAGTTGAATATGTACCACTGTTGGGTTGTTCATGAACAGAAACTTTACATTTCATATCATTTTTCAAAGTGAAAGGCGCATAACTCTGCAAAATCATCCGAACCCCATGACCAAATTCGACCTTGACCTGTATTTTTCTCATGACATATCCATTATGTCAAGTTTGAGTTAAATGTGTTGTACCATTGGGAGGAAATGAACGACAACTAGAAAATTCATATATATTTTTCAAAGTGAAAGGAGGCAAATAACTCTGCCAAAAATCATCGAACCATGAAAACCAAATTTGAACTTGACCGCCATTATTTTGCCCCCCCCCCGCTATCCATATGTCAAGTTTGAGTTGAATGTGTTGTACCATTGGGGAGTTAATGAACGGAAACTGAAAATTTCATATTAATTTCAAAGTAAAAGGGCATAACTCTGCCAAAAAATCGACCATGAAAATTCGAACTTGTCTGTATTTTTTCTCATGACATATCCATATGTCAAGTTTTGAGTTGACTGTGTTTTGTACCGTTGGGAGATAATGAACGGAAACTGAAAATTTCGTATTATTTTCAAAGTAAAAGGGGCATTTTAACTCTTGCCAAAAATCATCGAACCATGACCAATTTCGAAACTTGACCTTTGTATTTTCTCATGTCATATTCATATGTCAAAATTTGAGTTCAATATGTGCAACGGTTATTTAAGATAATGAACGGAAACTGATGATGACGGAAGGACGGAAGGACGGAATGACGGAACAGGGTAACACTATATACCCCTGCCATTATATGGCGGGGGCATAAATTTTTAATATATTCAAAGTCCATACAAAAAAATACTCATCAACTCTTCAAATAAAAAAAAAATTAAAAAAAATTACACGGCAGGGAGCAGAGTATGAGCCAACGAGTGCAAATCACTAAAGGGTATAGTGACATTGGTTATCTAACTGAACAACAACGATGATACATATTCTTATTAGAGTTAAACTATTCATAGTTGTTGACACTTCCAACCTCGGACAATAATGCAGACCAACCCTTAGATTTTCTTAGTGTCATCAAGTCAAAATTATCATCACAGGATAGTAAAAATCGTTTTTTTTACGTAAAATTTTAAACATCATAGGGAAAAAAAATTTTTTGTAAAAATTTCTTTAAAGAAAAGGGCAATGTAAACGGAAACTAGTTTTAAAATTTTACTTTCAATAAATTTAAATGGTCAAATTTTTGTATGAAAACCCGGTTTCTTTTTTCTATGGGCTTTTGGGGGGCGTTATACAACCAAAACCCTTCAAAAAGAAAGGGAGGGAAAAGGGTTTTTGAAATTTCGGGCATTTAAACGTTTTTTTCGTATTTTTCCCCTTTTGGGTCAGCATAATCACGAAAATAATTCCATTTTCCTACAGTCTTTTCATCCCCTTCACTTAAATTTTTTTAACCCCACCCCTTTTCCATTTACCCGTAGGGGGTCTTTGGGCAAAGTTTATTTTTAAGGGTTAAATTTTTTATAACTTGTTGTCTACAATAATAAAACCAAAAAAACAATAATAAAATACAAAAACACACTACCTGCATGTTCAATACACCTTATTTTTTACAAAAATAATGCATACATGCGGAGTTGATAGTTACAAACTTGCTTTATAAACATGATAAGATTTTTACATTTACACGTTTTATGCATCTTAGGATAAAAGACTGAAGCAAATGTTGCACAAAAAATGACCGTTTTATATTATTAAGAAGTTATAAAAGATTTGACTAGTTATAGTGTCTCTATATAAACTGTTGTTTATCATGAACAATATATTGTTTTATTGCAAATAACCGTTTAGGTACAACCAAATAAAATGTTAACATTCTTTATAATCAATATATAATACAGCAAACGTTCTTTGTTAAAGGCTAAATGGAAAGAATCATGTTATAACACTTCTTAATATGATCTTTCTTTAATCGAAATAAATTAAAAATACATTTGCCTCGGTTAAGATATAGGTAACAAAAATGAAATCATTTTCCATTGAAATCAATCTTACTAACATACAATATCATCAAGCATATATCAATAATCCATCAAAATAAATTCCGAAGAAAACGTGCCAGTAAAGAAATATGTTAGATGGTATTTGTTATTGTAGCGTTGTAAGTCCCTTCCTATCATGCTTCCCAATTTGTTCTGTTCTTTTTACATTTGTACAACCAAATGTTTCCAGCTGCCATAGCTAATCCTCCTAACAAAATACCAATCGCAGCGAAATAGAAAGCCATGTCGTAGGTACCAAGAAAGTCTTTGAAAATACCTGGAAAATGCACTCAAAATAAACAAGTTTAATCATTATTCATTATATAAAATCGTTAGCTGTTATAGAGACGTTTTAATCATACCGAATTGAAATACATTTTAATATTTTTTTGTTGTTGTAAATTTCGCACCAACAAGTATAGGTCATATGGCGATTTCTCAGCTTTACTGGTGGATGAAGACCTTGATTGGCCTTCCTGCATTGTTCCAGTGCACGAATGGCAACCTGAAGCAAAAAATGCCGGACGGTCCCGTTTAAGCTAGCTGGATAGTAATTTTGTAAAATACATTGGCAAAAATTCTGTCAAAAGTAGCAACCGATCGTGACGTCTTAGTCAATAGACAAGACCGAGAGATGACAAATTTCTTTCTGAAGTTTATAACTTCAATATTCCTACTTTTCCATTTTACATATCCACAGAATTATTGACAAATAAAAAAAGATAAACACTGATTATAAACAGCAAAAAGAAAATTATCGATAACAGCAACGAATAAACAAAAAAAATAGAACTAAGAACAATGTAAGAATTATCTTTGGAAACTATATTATCTTACCTCCGATTGTTGAACCAATCAGGTTACTCAAACCTTGAGCCAGCATTAAAAAGCCAAAGGAGCTTGACAGACTTGCTACACCTAAAACATCTACTACCACAACGGACTTTTGTGATATATATGTCCCAGACAACATTCCGTACAGTCCACAAACTACGGCAAATTGGCTAAAGTTTGTCATTGATGGAAGTAAAAAATATACTACTGCCGTGAAAAACATAACACAATTGTATATAACCAATCTGTACGGCTTAACACGTTTAAGATCTAAAATTGTAGATAAAACGATCCTACATATACCATCACATATGCCAAGAATTGATACCAGGTAGGCTGCTTCTATATTTGAGACGCCTTTCTCCTGAGCAAGAGCAGGTAGGAATAGTGAACTTATATTAATCGACAGGGTAAACAAAAATATCTGAATACACAGTGCACAGAATGCAAAGTTTCTGAACAGTCCAAAGTCTAACAATGGTTTTCTCTGCTTGGATGATGAAGAACTTGAAAACAAGGTCTTAAATCGTGATAATTTCCTTTTTAAAACTATCTGATGTACTTCAATGTCTTGCTCTTTGATAACTACGACATTAGTGTTTAAGTGTGTTGTTTGGTCTGAAGTATTAGTTACGTCTGCTGCTTCATGCTTAATGTCGTCTGCTGTTTGATAATCGTTTGAAAATTTCATTTTCTCTCCCATAAGGTTTCCGTTGGTCTTTTTCCTAAAAAATGCAATTTGTGTTACATTTAAAAAAACACGAAAATGCAAATCCTTGAAAAAATCTATTTGAATCATAAACAGTTTGAAATAGTAAAAGTCACTGCAATCACATTGTGTTGATTAATTATCATATCTTTAACTTCATTTCTCTTTCTAATAAATAGTTGTATGCTCGGTAAAATCTGGTGATGCATAAGTAAACAAAACTGTTTAGATTTAATTAATATGTATTTACTTTTAACAAGAATACATTCTAATCATTTACATTAAAATGATCAATTTTGTGGAGGGTTTAACATAAAATTTATTACTGAAGTGTTGTTTTGGTTAATATGTAATTATTTTATTTTCCTTTAAAACAATAAAGGGCTTTACAAAAATACATTTTTAAAACCAATTAAAAAAATTTTAAACTAATAGGGAAACCCCGAAGGGAAAGAAGAAGGTAAAAAGGTTAAAAACAGTAAGCAAATACGGTGAAAATGTAGCATGTAAATAAAAATGACAAACCATTCAAATTCTGTAAGTCTCCATTGTAACTCTAGTGGTCTAAACAGAGCACCGCATACAAAAAAGTTACTGATAACCGCTGTCAGTATGAGAAACGCCCCCAAAAACCCGAAATGTTCAAACAATAGCTCGATAGTAGGCGGGAATAGGAAACAACCAAATCCAACACCAGAAGTTGAAATACCGACAGCAATACCACGGCGTTTATTGAAGTAGAGTCCTACAGCAATGACAGCAGGAGTATACACTAAAGCTCTCCCAAGACCTTTTCAAATAAAAATACGGTATTCAGATATTCCTTAATGATATAATTTGAAATGGTCTCACTAGAAATTGGTTTTGCCTTTAATATCAAAAGCAATTTGAAGAGTTTGCAACCGCAGCAACTAAGTGAATACACTACTGATTACATCGATACGCAGGAAAGTACAGGAAATTATTATCAGCTGCTTTTAGGAGACAGAAAATAAAAAATAAATGTTTACGCAAAGATGCTTGAATTCAGTCATGCAAATACAAGCTACAGGTTATTTCAAAACATGTTTTAACAATCAATTGTATATAAATTAGTATTAAACAGACTCAATTGTATCATACTCAATACATATTTCAACTGAAACAAAATTGTCAATGGTTTTTAGCTTCAAAAAAAAGGTTTTATTACTTTTAAAAGGATAAATGCTTACCACCAAGAAGTCCGTACGTGATGTACATATACGAAATATCGCTTACGAATCCCGATAACAATATTCCAAGAACTGATATAGCAGAACCAAGCATAACAACGAAACGACAGGAAAATCTGTTACACAGTGCACTGGCGAGAGGACCTGTAAATGAAAATGAAAACAATGAATATAGAAATGTGTCCATAGGACACTGATGCCCCGCCCCCATTATATTTGTACCTTCAAGTACCACCTTAATGCACCAGACCCAATGACTCTATAGAAGGAAGATATCTGCCAACTATTTTTTTTCTTTATTATACATCAAGGAATAAGTTTTAAACCAAAGAGGATAATTTGACATTTGACCTTAAAGTCCAGCATTGATTTTCAAGTTGCAGAGACATGGCTTTTATTAAGCATAAAGAAGGTATTGACAGGACACACACTCGAGCTATACATAAACTAAATGAATAAACGCTCACTTCAATTACTTTTTGTGGCATGTACCCATTCTTTTTGAAATCCCACGTACGTTCTGTGAACAATAGACCAGATTGTCTTAAGGAGCATTTTAACAGTATAAAAAAGACTTGCCTGATTTTTATTCACTTACCAAGCACAAGTCTTAGTGTGGAGAAAATAGACATTACCCACGCTGTAGCGGTCGCACTTCGATTAAAACGTGACAGTAATTGAAGATAAATCACGCCGTTAGATCGCTCAAACCCACCTGAAACATATTCAATTAAATCGATATAGATACGACAGAAATATTAAAGAACGTCCTTCACGAAATAAATAAAATGCTGCAGGTTCAGCTTGGTTGAACCTGTTCATAAACGGCAAGTACAAGAGCTATTGTCCAAGCCCCCTTCCATTGGTTAAGCAAATGCATAGCAAATGATTCTTACACATCAGGATCGCAATAATAAATATTACCCATATGTTATAAGTAAAGTTAGATGGTTTTGTTCATTATCTCTAACAGGTATTTGAAGTATAGTACAGATACACAAAACTCAATAAATAAATGAATGAATGAATGAATGAATTAACAAACAAACGAACGAATTAATTAACTAATTAATAAAAAGTAAATAAATAAATAAAAACAAAACAAGAGATAAAATTATAAAATTCACAATAGATCTCAAAGGCATCCGATCACAGAATAAACACAGACTTTCTTTTTTGCAAAAAGTAAGTGACATTTATTAAATGTTCAACAGTAATATAGTAAGAATAGTTTAATAATTTATTTAAATATCAAATAGTTTACCCATGATAAAGTGAACCAGGAAACCTCCAAGACAAACAAACCACGCCCATCCATTATCGGGAGCTTTTCTCTCTTGATATTCTCTAAATATTGGTTCTTCATTTATAGTACGCGCACTGTGATTGGTTATTTCGCGTTGGAACGTATTTTCTCTTTCATTGATTCCGTATTGTCGTCCGTCGCTTTCGGCGTCAGAAAAAGACTCGAGTTTGCATTCTTGTTGTTCCATTCTGAAGCAGTAAAGGCAGCACTAAAATCTACAAAGGAAATGAATGAAGAAAAAAACCAAAGTTTCCCAGGTAAGAAGCTCTTGTACAAAAACGAAAAAAGAACAATTTTTCTTTAAAATTGAAAAAGAAAACATCGTTTAAAAAAATGACTCTAAGTACGGTCTTCAATAAAATTACGGGACGAAACAAAAAAGAAAAAACAGAAAAAAAAGAAATAAAAAAAGTTTGGGAAACTCTGAATCTACCTACTCATCCTTTTATCATGTGACCCCAATTAAATTTAAAAATTCAAAAAGTCAAACATTTTTGCAAAAAAATTTAAAGTATTGACTCACCAATAAACGAAGACTAGGACAACTTCTTTTACAATCGCGGAACGACACTGGATATACAATTATCAATACGACACTTATTACATTGATACACAGAATACACTTTTACTATTTTGATATCAGGAAATTCAAACAAATGGATTCATTAAAATCGACTAATTTTTCTGTACGTTCAGAATATACTCCTACCAAAGAATAAACAAAATGGCCAAAAACATTATAATTGCCAGTTTCCTGTTTACGATTTCTAATACATCAGATTAACGAAATGTCATCCTAAAATTGTAAATCCAGTTGCCAAACGAACATAAAAAGATGTACTATAAAAACATGAATTATTCATATAAAATTGGCATCCAGTTCATTTCAATTTAAAGATATACTATGCTCAAATTTGATATCAGAAAATATTGATCATTGCTACACAGTCTCTTTGTCAATAGAAAATAAAAATGTTTTGACTTCACTCAAAGTTAATATGTCATGTTTAACACTCTACACACATAGGTCGTCAAAATATGAAAATATAGTGTCGTTAATACAGGACAAGTAAAGTTGGTCTTTTCTAAAAAAAAAAACTGCCAGTTTTTTTAACGACACTATATTTTCATATTTTGATGTTAGTATGCCATTTGGTTACCAAGTGATGATCATCTTATTGTCGTATTGAATCCTGAAGTGATTGTAATTATATTTGTCCAATGCGATCGATGTTTTCTATATCTCTGGTTGATTTCATTTATTTTAAAATATAGTTTATTATTCATTTTTTATGTAAATTAGACATATTTAGTAAGAATTCAAAGGTTTAAATAAATTTTCTTCGATTAAAATATTTTACTCAAATTGTTGAGCTTAGTATATCTTTAAGTGAAGGAAATTGAAAATTTAATGTTAAACCTTATACGGGCAAGTTTCTGTCGGTAAAATAAATGAAATCAATCAGAGATAGAGAAATACATCGATCTCATTGGACAAAATATAATTTCAATCACTTAAGGATTCAATACGACAATAAGATGATCATCACTTGGTAACCAAATGGCATACTAACTGTTCATCACATTTTTAGATTATTGACACAAATGAAAATACAAGACATGATGTATTCTAAATTAAGAATCTCAATACAACCCTGATTTTTATAATTGCACGTTCAGATTGAAAATTAAAAGTTATGTATCCTGAAGACAGAGTCGGAGTAACACCGTTTTTGACCTTTTCATACATTAGTTCAGAATGGAATATTAGTAATAATGTTATCTAAATAAAGAATCAGGATAGTACATCGACCATTTAAATTAACTGATAAAATCATCTTATTGTAAAGAACTACTTTTTAACACAATGCTAACAAGACATCAGCTAAAGAAATTAACGAAATTTTAAATACCTCATATTTTCCATTTATTTACGCGGTCTATATAAAGCACGCTTTATATGATTATAGTATTATTGAATATCCTTAAACAGTGTTTAACTTTTTAAGAATGACTTTTATATGAATTAAACTAACTGAACTATTTATTTAAATATAAATGGTTTGGAATATTTTAAACTTGAACTTACCCTGATTTCCATACAGTGTCGTTACATATCTAAACTTGGTTCCAAAATGGTAATAAATGCTGTAACATTTAATGATATTTAACTGATGTAATGCCTAGTCACTAAATGGTGTAATGTTTATGAATGCCACATACTATAGTATATATCTATTGCAAGCGAGCACTTTCACATACCGAAATAATTTGTTTTATTTAATCAGCTGATAAGAGACACTGCAATGTCACCTTGTTGGGTCGGTACATTTTGACTGTGAAACGCTTCCTAAAATAAATACCGTATCAAAAAGTTTATAAACGGGGATTGAATTAAATCGTTCAACCAGCCCATTCACCATAAGACCATATTCGAATTTTAAGTATATCTACTGATGATAAGTGAGCTGACAATTATAAATAATTTGCATATACATAATTTCTTTTTAAATAAGAAAGTGTACTATATTTAATTCTTACTCATTTTTGTAAAACGATTTGTTAATTCATTATTTCCAAGGATTGATGATTTCATAATTCGAATTTCTTTTTGTCCGTTAATTAATTGAGGCTATTAATTAGTTATTTGCGAACGGATTTTGTTCAACTTTGGACCATACGAAATTCAACATATCATACTTACTACTTAGAAGTTTATTTACAATATATTGACAAGAAAATAGAGAAAATACTAAAACAAATATGCTACTGCAAACTGAAAAATCACAGGATGGCTGTTAATATCGTAGCAAAATTAACAGTCTCTGAATCCCACTAAATCTGTATGTTTACCAGTTCTAATGTCCTCCCGTGGCTTTAACAACGTGTTCACATCTGTCTCAAGGTTATGACGTAGTTACTCAGCTTGAGGAATATTTCTCAACTTCCTCGAGTTCAGCAACTCCTGCATCCCAAGTCATAAGATCAGATCTAAACATCACACTTGTCGGCTGAATTTAACAGGCGTGTAAAAAAGCGATCATCTCTAACAATGAATTTAATTATATTTGTATATACAGTTATCAGTTATTCTATCAATTTTTGACCCAGGCTTTTTTAATTCAATGTTCTGTTAAAAGGCAATGCTATATTTCAAGCATTGACAACGGCGCAGGCTTTTTTTTAACTTTTATAAAAATGATATACATAGAGCATGTAGAAGATATTGCGATGAATTTAAAAAAGTCATCTGTCTTGAATAATGATAGATAGTGCAATATTTTCAGTAAAACTTTGTGAAATTTCATGGTAAACTCTACACTTGTAAAGATTGCTGAATAATTCTTACAGAAATGTTCTAATTTGTCTTATTTTGAAAATAAGATAACTGTTATTTTGTACTTGAAAGAATTCTTCTGGCATCAGCAAAATCTATTTAGGATTAAACGGTGCATCATCTATGATGATGACCAAACATTTTCTGTTTTATAATTGTATCAATTGAATGTTTGTATTAATTTGATATTATCTATTGTGAATGTAATTATAACTGATATAAAAATTACTTCTGTTTGATGATGGACATTAAAGTTGACCTTTCTTTACTTGTTATTCATGATAGAAGACTTTTGCTTAATTCATATTAAACACTATGCACTGATGAAAATCCCGTCCATCGTTGAAACCTTTTCAGTTTACATATTCCATATTACATATAGGTGTTGTTTTGTAGAAACCCAAGGAGAAGGTTTTGTTCAATATTGATGTATATTGATTCATTTTATCATACTGCGGCTTATATTATCACATGACTCATTCAAATATTGTCATAATGCAACAATGTATGCCGATACTACCCAACGGGGACATGGTCTTGTTTTTTCTTTCTCTGTCTGTACAACCAAATATTTCCAGCTGCCATTGTTATTCCTCCTGTAGCAATACCGAGGGATCCGAAGTAGAACACCATATCATACTTATCGAGATAGTCTTTAGACAAACCTGTAGAATAATTTTAAATACATTACATTAACTGACAGTCATGTGACCTTCATGTATTCCATGAGAAAATATTAATACAATTTTACAATGTTTGTGGATAGCTAAGAATATAATATGTCTTCAGCGGTTTAGAAGTCTCGTTTGTTTGACTATCTATTTCACTAAGCATTGTGAAAGGTTTGGTTATTAAAGTTACTTGATTACATCCATTCTATGCAGTTTTTAGTTATTACAGAATATTGCGATCTGACTGCCGGCCATTTCTAGTAAAACATTGGCAAAGATTATGTTAAATTTAATTTATATACTAATCGACTGACCACCAACTGTAGGTCCTACAAGTCCACCAATTCCCTGGAAAAACAGCAGAAATCCAAGCGAACTTGACAAACTGTCTGCACCTAAAATGTCTACTACCACCACTGACTTCTGAGACATATACGCACCACTAAGTATACCATACAGTCCGCTTACAACAGCGAACTGCCAGAAACCTTTCATTGATGGTATCAGAACAGAAACAATAGCGACAAAAAACATCACAATATTGTAGATTAACAGTCTATATGGTTTAACGGGTTGGAAGTCTAACACAGATGACATCACAAGCCTTGATACACCGTCCAATATACCAAGCAAAGAGACAAGATAAGCACCTTCAACCGGCGTTACGCCATTTTCTTCTGCTAAAGCAGGCAGAAATACGAATGTCGAATTTAAAGACAATGTAAATAAAAATAGTTGGATACATAGTGCACAGAACGCAAAACTTTTAAATAGAGACAAATCTAATAGACGTGTTCTTTTCGCTGTGACAGGGTATGAATCAGAGCTTTTCAAATTTTGTTTAAAATTCGAACGTTTCATATCAGTGGACATTGAATACTCATCGGTTTTTGCTTCAGAAATCGTCAATGGTAGTGTAGTACTGCATGTCTCATGGACCGTGGTAGCTTCGTTTTGTGTTACTCTATTTTGGACTGGTAATAAGCTATGTTTTGCCATCTCCAACCTGCAGGAGCTTTTCCTGCAATATAATTATCCGACAATCAAAAAGAAGATACATTGATACAGGTGCAAACTATAAATGTATAACAGTCTAAAATAACTTAAAACAAAACGTATACAATATAATCATTATGTATGAAACACCAAAACTCATTTGCAAAATAGTATGATTTATAACCCTAAATGCATGTACAATCTCATTAGTTCAGAAGCAAAATAATATAGGATGGTTTTAAAACATTAAAATTTCATTTCAACATTTTCAATTTTGCCGTTTTAGAAGTTTCTTTTTACTTATTTCCTCTATTTTAGAATATGGAAAAAACATGCATTAGTTTGCTAATATATGCATGACAATATAAAAAATAGTTAGCAAAACGTTAAGCAGTAATAAAAAACCAAATTGTGAAGTCCAGGTCCATTCTTATTTGAATGTACAAGTTTTTTGCATATAGCAGAGAACAAATAAATTGGTCTATCAAAATGTGTCTAATGATTTCTTTTTGATTCATTTGTATTTCGAAACCAGCATTTTTCAGCAACATTCGAAATCATACTAGCTCACTTGCCTTTTTAGAGATATAAGTCTTCTCTGGAGTTTCAAAGGTCTGAACAAAGCAGCGCAAACAAAGAAATTGCACATAATGCCCGAAAGGATGACAAATGTACCCGAAAATCCATAATTGTTGAAAAGTAGGTCCGTCAATGGAGGAAGTAGAAAACTTCCGAAAGCAACACCGGAAGTAGCTAGACCTACAGCAATACCACGCTTTTTACTGAAATAGTTCCCGACTATTATTAGTCCTGGCGTGTAAACAAATGCACCACCAATACCTGAAATCGAAGGTATTTTGTTGAATTATCCATCCATTTTTTTTTAAAAAATAGTACACATATTTTCAACTACAAAACCGTATTTTGGACAATTTTAGAAACATCACAAGTTATGATGTAGAATTCACTCGTTTTAGTTATAATGAACGTGTTGAAGGAAATGCTTGTAGTAACTAACCTACACAAACGTTCGTTAATTGTGTCAGATGTTGCATTCTTATCAAGGGATTTAGGAAAAAAAACCACAATAAAAGCGATGCCAGAAAAATCGGACTACATTAGAATGGTAGCCATAAAAATTATAAAATGTCAATATCAAAATAATAAAGCAACGTTCAAATCAAGAAAAGCCCGACAAAATTCATTTATACATGACCAAATGTCGGTTGGGTGTACAGGCAGGAAACAACTAAAAGTGAACGCTCAGAATTACCTGGCGACGAACATGTCATTTTGTGGAGACTTTACAGTTTGTTTCCATTAAAGAGTATCCAACAACAAAAGTTTAGCTTGAACTTACCAAAAAGTATTCCATATGTGAGATACAGATATGGTAGATCCGGCACAAAACCGGAAACCAAAACTCCAAATGATGATATAGCTGTTCCAAGAAATACCACAGTACGGCAAGAAAACTTATTACACAATACACTTGCAAGAGGACCTGTAAAACACACCTTGTATTAATTCTTCAAATATATAAAGGCATTATTAGTATAAAGAAACGGAACATGTGCAGTTTAAGTATTTCAGAATGATGATTTTAGGTATTTAAAAAAAAAACATTATGTTAATAGTAAGTTTTCTTGAAATAGCAGAGTATGACATTGACGTTTTTCTGAAAAGGAATAAGTTTATTCTTTATTCATAAGGAATGAAATGGAATTATCTTTCGTAATTGATATATATATATTGAGATTCAAAATAAAGAGCAATTAACAAATGAATACCGTCAAGGGCGGTATTCAGACCATGTTTGCCAGAGATAAATGAAACAGTAAATATGACCTTAATTCACCTTCAATTATAAAAAAACTTGAAAAATGAGTTTCAGTTGTTAAAATATGTAAATGTGTAAAAATAAAATATTACCCATAGCAAGTCTGAGTGAAGAGAAAAGCGAGGTAACCCACGCAGTAGCAGTGGCACTTTGCTTATATCTTGATAACAATTGTAAGTACATCACTCCGTTTGAGCGCTCGAATCCTCCTGTAAAAAGAAATATGGAAACACCACCGATGACTGATATGATCATTAATAATGTGATTATTTGTTCTAAAACATTATCTTAATAATAATACTAAAGAGTTCAGACAGTATCGCATAATTAAACCAAGGCCATTTAAGGATTAAATTGGAATAATGTTCCCAAAAGAACAAAATATGTCTTTTAAAAATACCTGATACATTGAACAATGAACAGTGTTTAATTCTTGTTATAAAAGCGGTTACATATATCCGTCTCGTGCCAGTAGCAAAGTAGTTAAAGTCGTCAACTTCAAACCACTTGCCCCTCAGATCTGTGGGTACGAATCTCGCCCATTGATTTTGTATTATTTTACATGAGAAAACTATCCAGCTAACCTTTTGAACGTCGGTGGTTGTCTAGGTCTGATATAATGCTCTGGAGAAACTGAAGTTTTCCTCAACCAATAAAGCTGGTAACTCGCCGCGTGATCCCTACTGTGTTGTTCGACGTAAAATTCAATGAAAAATACATTCCGTAGCAGTCCTTTATTAACAAGAGGACTCCCCTGACCCATCATTCGCATCCAAGCAATGTCTTAGACAAGCATCCTGGCCAAGTTTGATGACAATTGAGTAAAAAATGTGACCCCTTGTGTGTTAAAAAGGTGTTTCCATATTTGGGCAATGTGACCTAGTTTTTGACCGGAGATGACCCATCTTCAAACTTTTCCTAGAAATCATCACAACAACCTTCCTGACCAGTTTCCAGAATATTTGGATCAAAACTGCAGCCACTAGAGTGATAACAAGCTTTTTCTTTTTTTAGCTTCTGTGACCTAGTTTTTGACCAGAGATGACCTATCTTCGAACTTGACCTAGAAATTATCAAAACAACTTTCCTGACCAATTTCCAGAATAATTGAATCAAAACTGCAGCGACTAGAGTGTCTACAAGATTTTTCTATTTTAAATCCAGTGACCTAGTTTTTGAACGGAGATGACCCATCTTCGAACTTGACCTAGAAATCATCTAAACAACCTTCCTGACAAATTTCCAGAATATTTGGATCAAAACTGCAGCCACTAGAGTGTTTACAAGCTTTTTCTATCTTTAAGCTCCTGTGACCTAGTTTTTGACCGGACATGACCCATCTTCAAACTTGACCTAGAAATCATCAAAGCAACCTTCCTGACAAATTTCCAGAACATTTGGATCAAAAGTACAGCCACTAGAGTGTTAGCAAGCTTTTTCTATTTTAGCTCCTGTGACCTAGTTTTTGACCGGAGATGACGCATCTTCAAACTTGACCTAGAAATCATCAAAGCAACCTTCCTGACCAATTTCAAGAACATTTGGATCAAAACTACAGCCACTAGAGTGTTAACAAGCTTTTTCTATTTTAGCTCCTGTGACCTAGTTTTTGACCGGAGATGACCCATCTTCAAACTTGACCTCGATCTGTATTTCACTGAGACAAACATCTGACAAAGTTTGATGATGATTCAAACAAAACTGTAAGTGCTAGACTGTTAACAACCCAATTGTTGACGACGAACGACGCACGACGACGGACGCCGGACATAGCCCCATCACTATACCTCACCTTGGCCACTTTGTGGTCAGGTGAGCTAAAAATGGCATACTTTTTTGCAAACACAACACGAAAGAACAGAAAAGGATAAAATGAATAAAATAATCAAACCTATTAAAGCATGTACTATTGATGACCCTAGAACCACGAACCATCCCCAGCCTCCGTCGGGGGCTTGCACACTTTCTTGTTCAATAGTTATAAGCTCTTCTTGGAATTCATCATAGTCTGTGTGAAGGGACTGAACATGTTCTTGTTCAGTTGTTACTGGTTCTAATTCCTGACATTTGTCTGATACCTGGGTCGCTTCTTTTGAACATCTAATTTCAGCTGATTGCCTGCATTCTTGTCGTTTTGTTGACATTGTTCCGTTATCGCGCGCAGATAATTGAGTAAATGGTAGACATCTATCTATTTCCGCGTTTGGTTTGATAGAGTTTTAATGTTAGTTGTAAACGCCAATTCATCCTCTCTTATAGTACCTGTTTGCGCATAGAAATCTCTTTCGTAGTACTGTGGTGATTGCTTTATTGAATAATAACTAAGAACCTTTCAATAGTTATTCCTCTAAATACACTTGTTCATAAATGTATTGTTTGTCAATATTATTCCTTCAATTCATGAACAGTTTTTCACTAAAGATATGGTAAGGTTCAGTACGCTGAAACAAAATATTTCAAATATACGTCCCCTTTCCATTCTAACATTATTAAACCAAACAAGTATATAAGAACAGCTATCTTTTGTTCATAAAGTAATTCTCCCAAGTCAAGCCAAGATAGCAGAGGTCATTAGGTCACCAGAAACTTATATCATTTAGTGTAGTTATAAATCTACAAGTCGAACTCTTTAGTTGATAATATGTAACTGCATTAAGGCCATCATCTGTAATATTAAACACATTCTATTAGACAAAAAGTATTGATTATCATCGTATAACAGTTGAGAAAGAACTTATCAACACTCACTAAACCAAGACAATTCACATAGAAAACATGCCATGGATAAGGATCTTAAACGTAATTATTTACTCTTAAAGTTTGATAACTATTATACATTGTAAGTTTATATCAGAAAGTTTTATTATTACAAGTAACATACTTCATTTTCGTCAAAAGACCACGTTTTCCAACATGAATAATTGCACAGGTTATAAATCAAAAGCAAATCACTGATATAAAATAAAAATTAAGACAAAACTCTCACATAAAAAAGTAACATTTTAACAACCATAACCAAAAGGTTTTGACATCTATCATATTTTTTCTTTAATATTACATGTTATTTATCGGGCACTTGAATTTTATGTCAATAGCTCCGCTATAGAGGCACGGACTTAATTGGTGACCCCCCCCTCCCCCCACTCTAGACGTCCTATATTACTTTTGAACACTTATTTATATAAGGTACGGAAGCATAAATGGTGAAAAGTGTAATCAATAAGCATTTTTAAATCATTTCTCCAGTTTTAAGGGTTTATATTAAAATTTATAAGGGATTTTAATCCTTCTTTAACAGGGATGATTAAATTAATTATGATCATAATTATGATAAGCCTCTTCCACTCTGGAAATTTTTTTTAGAATAATACAATAGGAATTCGGTAAGCAAAGTTTTTTTCTTTTCCACTCTTTAAAAAAGCATGCATCATTATGCAGCATCATCCATAAAAGTAAAAAGTGAAAGTTTCAAAAAATGTTCAGTAAAAGTTCTCAAATTCCCTGATAAATGTAGAAATGTGCATGATAAATGTGCACCCGAAAATGCATCAGGGGCAAAATTTATTATTAAAAAAAAGAAACTGTTTTGTTTTTTTTAAATTATAGAAACACACAATTCAAAAGGTACTCAGAAATGCAGCAGAAACTTGTGTATGTGAAAATGCAACAACAAATCTTATTTGTCGAATTTTTTTTTCAGAGATCGACTAAATCTTGAATTAACCTAGCTTTCAAAACACCAAGTCTGAACTTTTCTGAAAAATATGAAGACACTTGTATTTAAAAATGTGCAACTAAAATGCTTGTTTACCACCCAGTCGAAATTTTCTGGATCTGTTCCTGGTAATATGAAGCTGAAGGCAATTTTGAACTTTAACGTACATTAAGACATGGCATTTGAACAAAGTCTTTATAGTGGATTGATGTAGTGGTCTTTATTGTGTATGACATAACCATTCAAAAGAGAATTCAAAAAAATATTGCGTAACTAGTATTCTTATATCAGTCCTAATAGCGGGTAGGTCTTAATTTCGGAATGGTCTTAAATAGGTCCTGTACTGTATTCCACTCACATGAGTGTCCAAAATCATAATATTGCGTTACTAGTATTCTAACATCAGTCCTAATAGCGGGTAGGTCTTAATTTCGGAATGGTCTTAAATAGGTCCTGTACTGTATTCCACTCACACGAGTGTCCAAAAATCATAATATTTCATATGCATAAATGCAATCACCTGAACGGTGATGTTTTATTGGAATTTTTAGAATAATAACTAAAGAGTTCTAACAATTTTTGGGCATCAAAGTCGCACGATATTGAAAGCAACGCTCTGTTATTGTAAAGTATTATATCGTCATTGAGTGCAGTAGCAGGTTAATTCCTATAGAATTTCAAAAGGAGTTTACCCGGTACTGCACTTATGTAATAATTTATCTACGACTAGGGTTTTTGTTCGCGTATCTCGGTGTGATGCTGTTGTCTTGGATATTAATTAGGTGGCTATCAAGTTAAGTCAAGTCACCAGGACATTTCTGTTTATGATGCCATCTGAAACACCTGGAAATAAGTTAAACACATTTAAAATTGGTTGTGATTGAAAGCACTGTCATGAGGTGACGACTCAACCCTTTTCTTCATACTAACAGTCAGGCGTTTAATGCGATTTTGAGGTAAATTTTGCCATTGTTGGTGCCGAGCTTGTTCCAGGTTGACCCAATTTTTTTTAAATTTCATTTATGGTCATGTCAAAATTGAGGCAAAATGCCCGGTGTGAGAATAAGAGTTGAGGCTATCATCCGGGCAAGTGGCGGTTACACACGTGATTAAAAATATTGCTACATAATGTCATTTTAGGCTACGTAATCGTCAATATTTACCAAAAACATCCACCAGTTAAGGTTTTGTAAACGCTCCAAACAATACTTAAGGCCGCGTCTACACCTTTTCAAGTTTCTTACATGTCACATTTAGATAAGCTAAATAAATGGCCCTTTCAATATTTTATCAGGCACAATTTTTACAGAAATGTCTAATTAAGATTGCCCAAGATTTATATATTTGTCTTTGCCATACTATCATGTTTCTGTAAAATATGTGAATAAAAAAGCGGGAAAATGATGCAATTAGCTAAAAACAATGGAGTTAATCAAATTGAAAAGTGTACATTCTTTTAAAATAATGGAAAATGTGAGAAAAATATTTTTGGAGCTGATAAATTGATGCAAATTCTTTATTTGATAAAAGTTATTCACTAAATGAACAAGATCATTTAAAATTCATTTTGACATATTTTCGGATATATTTTTTTTTTGTTCTTCTGTGTATCAGTGTATTGATCTTTTCCCCTGACCAAGATATTGTATACATTTACAAAAATTTACAGATCATGAACACTGAATTAGTAACAAAAAAAGTCAGAAAATAATAATAAAAACAACACTATCACACCTTCGGGGCACATGTTCTGTGTCAAACCGGTGGTATCAGTGTCTTGACAGCCAAAAACTTGTAGAAAAATAGAACGTGTTCTAACTTTCTTGCAAGGAATTATCTTCTTGGATGTCACATAATTTCTCTTTAAAACTCATTCAAGTAGGGTGTCTACACTATCCAATACAAGAGAATATGATACTTGCATTCAAGACTTGAATAGGTGTAGACGGGCCCTAAGAAACACTTACATTTTGTGGTTAATTACAACACATTAGCTTATGCTTTAATAATCAATTAATAATGAATAAATTAAACTCATGAATTTAATGGTATATGATTACTAAATTGGTATCGCTTCTTATCAAATTACTATTTTTAAGCTCAATTAAGTCGTTATCTCATGACAGTTCTTTCAATGGCAACCAATTTGAAATTTCCAGGGTGTGCATAACTTATTTTCAGGTGTATAATTGTATTCGTAAATATGGCGCAAAAATACAAGATAAAACAAAACTTAAATCAATATAAGCCAGTAAATAAAAAAGACGCCAAAGCCGTGTTGATGTTTTTTTGTTGTTGTTTTTTTCGATACGATTTTTATGACGCACCAACACGGTAAAGGTTATATTACTGGTAGAGGAAGACCTGCACAAGCTGGCTCCGGAGTAGAACCATCGACGTTGATGAAGTGTGTATTATAATCATAGGGCCGGCAATGCAAAGACGTGGGTTCGATTCCCGGCCAGGCCGACTGTTCCGAAAATGTCTTGTGCAATGGTATTTACGTCGCACCAACACGGTAAAGGTTATATTACTGGTATAGAAAGACCTCATGTGCACATCTGCGCATTTTCTTTCAGGCACAAGCGGGCCCTGAGTAGAACTATCAACATAAGAATAATCATAGGGCCGGCAATGCAGACATGGGTTCGATTCCCAGCCAGGCCAACTGTTCCGAAAATGTATTGTTGACTATACATGCCATTTGCCGCTTGTCGTGGAATTGCATTCACGTGTCCATGGAACACATCTACAAATGTTTCAAAATGTAAAATTTCACCATTTTCCTGTTTAACTGTTCCGCTTAAGCCGGTGCTAGGTGGTATGGGCGGTAACTTGCATGTTCCAGTACAATTCATGAGCAGTTTTTATCAAACAGAGCCTGCAACATTTTCAATTTTGTTGTTTCAGGCGTTCTTTAGAGATTCTGTTTTTCTATATTTTATCAAATAAAACAAACATAATTTTCAGTTGTGTAACATCTTTTATTACTGGTTCTTTAACAATGTGAAAAAAATATAGAAACTTCCCTGTCAAACAAGATATCGTTTACTGTTTACAAAAATCACTGCCTTAAAAGGAAAGATATTTCTTACAATTTTACAAATATATCTAATACTAGTACTATTAACTTCATTATTGATTTTCATATCATGACTACTTAAGTAAACAAATTATGGTGTCTCTTTTACTTCCAACTTACATATAAGTAATTTAATTAAAACATCAAAGTGATGAAGTACATGTCTAATTACTATAAAAGTTTTTGTGCTCTTCAAGCTTAAAAGAATATCAAAATACCACCTTAGTTCTGTAGGCGTTTTGAGTAGGAATATATGATGATAATTCATGTTAACCAATACTCTGCTAATATGGACTTGTAAATGGTTAGTTAATTGTATTATATAATTGATAATGATAAAAGGTTAGCAATTACAAAAACTCACAAATTAAAAAGAAAGTGGTATTTTTGTGTTATCTTAATTTTCGATAATTTTTCACAATCAAAATAATCACTATGGAAAAAAGTAAGCAAATGATCTAAAAATTTGACCACAAATCATTGGTCCAGATCAACATCAAATGATTTTCATACAGACATATACGTAAAATGAATACTGTTTAGTAGAATTTCTTTAAACTTGGCACGTTGTTAGAATATATCAGAAACTGTTTAAGCGGGAGATAAATGGGGTCACTATTCTCGTTTTTTGTTGTTACTTATCAATAATTAATTGCAATGCTCATGGATTTGTAGTCTAAGATACTAGTTTTAGATAGGGAAAATCTCATTTAGACCCTGAATATGGTACTACACCAAGTGAATATGATTTATATTTTGTTCTGTTGACTAATGTTTGGACCAATGAAATATCACCTATTTTAGAGCATTGTCCTATGATATATATCACGTGGTCTTATCTTGTTTGACAGGTTTATTCCTTGTCATTTTATTGGTACATTTAACACACATATTATTACAATAACACAATGCAACAGTCCTTATATAGTTTTTTCTTTTAAAAAATGACATAAAAATAGCATTATAAGAACAAGTAAAAAATATATATTAATAGTCAATTCTTTCCTCTCTATACATTATTTGGCCACTATCGGAAAGACAACACTAAATTCATTTTTCTTACAAAAATAACAGCATTCCTAGTATTAGTTTAAATTTTGTCAAAATCTGGTACATGGAAATACTGAAAAAAACATTGAAAAAAGGAAAAAACGCCAAACTAAACATAAATCCTCTATAACATATGTGAAAAGAATTATGCAAGGATAATTATAAATCATATTATACATTAAAATGTTGTATTTTGGCAAGTAAATATAAGATAAAATGCTTTAAAGCACTCTATCTCTCACTTAGCCGGTCGGACAAAGCAGCATTACATGGTGAAATCTTAAATCAGTATTTATCAATCCATTAAACCATTTAATGCTAAGTTTATTATATCAGAGTTGTTGTTCTTTTTAAAAATAATTTTTAAAGAGAATTTACGTTTCTTTCGGTATTTTCAATGCTTTTCCTTATTTCCACATACCAGCCAGTATCGATTATATATATACAATGTTACTTGGTTAATCGTACTAGAACAGAGAAAAGTTGTGTGGTTTTTTCGCTTCTGTCATGAAGCCAATATCAAAGTTGTTAACTATGTACCTTCTGAATTTATGTTATGGTGTAACCCTTCTTTTTACTTGAAACAGTACATCTGCAGTTGAAGGGATTTTAACATCAAAATACAAGATTTATCAACCTTCAGTATTAAGCCCAGTCAGAGCCAGTGGTTTTTATCTGTACTGGTGATATCAGGGGCTGGTCAGGGGCTTTCAGCACCAGCAAGTACTTTCAGTTCCAGCAAGTAGAGCATTGGAAGATAAGAACAACTTTACTTCTACCTGCGATATTAACCATACAATTATTAATGCCTTCTTTTGAACAATTTTTGATCAAGCAACTAAGGTCAATCTCCAGATAGCAAAAGTTTTTACTACAGGATGCACTCACAGCCAATTCATACTTGATTTAACTTGATTTAACAATGAACGTATATAAACGGGCTAAGCCTACTTTGACAATGGAACAGTCCGTTTGTAATTTCAGGGACATAAGTCTCAAATTTATTAAGGTGGACTTGTCGTACAATGGACTCATTTTCTGTAAATATTTCCAATACTGATAAAAACTATAACAATATATCTTCTGATATTCATGTTGCTTGACAAAAATTGAGTACAAACATTTATATGATGAATACTTTGTTTAAAGAACAATTTATCACACATAGATAGCGCACCATGTAGCTTACACTTAGCAACACCATCCATGTAATTCTTATGTGGCTTGTTGTTACGTATGATACAAAATGTCATCAACATAAATATCTATGGTACTACAGACCTTCAATAAGAGACCAATTATTTACCCTCACTTAAAACAATATAATTGTTTCACCAGATTGATGAGCCTCTTTACTAATAGGGTAAACAACTCTTTATACATGTAGGTAGTATCATTTAGAAGGTGTTTTGTGCCTGAAAAATCAGTAATCAAATAAATCATGCTTATTTGAACAAAGAAAAAAAATCAGTTCTGTGATTAAAAGATTACCTCAAAAAGTTGACCATTTTAATGATTATAAAAAATACTTCTTTATCAAATGTTTGAGAAGGAAAATCAGTAAAAATAAGTAAAATGACATACAATTGTTGTTAACCCTGATCAAGCTAATTATATCAAATGGACCAGTCTATTTTTAGATCTGGAGAAAACCATTCATAATTTTTAAAGCTGCACACATCCATATGAGCCAAAATATTTCAAGAAAATCAATATTGAGAAAAATGTACTAAAACTTTAAGAAAAGTAAAAACATTCAAGATCCAAGTTATATTTTTCATGTTATGTGCGGTTTAACACTGATTCTGCAGTATTTTATTACCATATTTCTACTGATGTTAAGAACGCAGTAAGAGCTATTTTTGCATATGATGACAACTTTTTGGTAATTTTCTTGGATTCTTTGTGCCGAATGCAATATGTAAATTACTTTTTTTCTTTGTTCACCTCACAATATTTTACTTTCAAATGCATTACCAAAATTTTCATGAAAATTAACATGAATCTGGTGGAGTGCTGCTTTAAGGGAAAATTAAACAAAAACGTACTAACTGAACAGTGAACAGTGCAGATAATGATCAGATAGAATGGATTGGTAAATCCAGTTGCCACCATTGCAGTTAAAGAAAATGTGATATGTTGATATATAAAAGAAACAAAAAAAAACATATTGCTACCATATCTCTAATCATGGGACAAATTGAACAAGAATATCAGTACAAACTAACATAGTAATGCTTTGCATATGTGCACAAATAAGTCTAAAATTATAACATTATTAGAGAGAACAGAGGACACAAAATGTTAGCCTTAATCTCCTTAAACTTATCAACATAAAAAACATTCAAACATATTAGTCTATTGAAATTATCCAGAAGGACCTGAAACATATTATTACATTCAAAGTACACATATCTTAATTACCCTTTTCACACAACACTAAACTAATGCTATTGTGAATATAGAAATTCAAAAATGGGGATGTTGATTCATTTCAGAGCCATAAAAACAAAGTGGAGAAAATTGAAATCATAGGCTTTCAGTGGACGTAATACCTATATAAATCTTCTGAAACTAATGATTTCACATATGTAGGAGTGTTATATATGTCATTATTGTTTACTTTAAATCCATTACCCTTTGTATTTGCCTTTTTATATTTAATACAATCCCAGATCTGCATGACATTTCAGATACCATGATATCTCTGTTTCAACCTAAATATCAGGATTTCCTGAGTACATTAATTATAAGATAAAGTCATGAAGTATCATATCCAGGAGGCCAGGATATTTGTGAGAATTTCCAGATATCAGGATAACCCTACCCAAAGCATCTCAAATATCAGGTTACCCTCAGAGGGCATCCAAGATATCAGGATATTCCTAGGTCATCATATACCAGGATACCACAGGGCATCCCATATCATGATATCCCAGGGCATCCCATATATCAGGATATCCCAGGGCATCCCATATATCAGGATAACACAGGGCATCCCATATATCAGGATATCCCTTGGCATACCATATATCAGGATATACCAGGGCATCCCATATATCATCAGGATATCCCAGGACATCCCATATATCAGGATAACACAGGGCATCCCATATATCTGGATAACACAGGACATCCCATATATCAGGATATCCCAGAGCATCCCATATATCAGGGTATAATATCCAGGGAACATCCCAGATATTAAGATATTTTAACCTCACCCCACCCCACCACAACTGTCTCACTGTGAGGTTGCAGGTAAAATAACTTATAGTCTTATTGCACAAAAGAAAAAAACATATCAAGTCAATTTTACAAAATGAAACACTAAAAGGAATACATAAAATAAGAATAATAGTAATAATAATAAAAAGAAAGCACTGGCAGTCCTTCTAGAACAAAATCATGATCTTATTTTTCAATACAAGAAAATTTTGAATAAATTTTATTTTATTTTCATAAAAAAATCTTAAAAACTTTACAGTCTATAAAGAACGAAACTGTGACCAAAATAAGTGTAACAAAAGTCATCCTTAGACAGCATGCTTGACTATTCTCAGTGCTTGACAGTCAGAAAAGAAGCTTAACTCTGTAAAAAGTATTTCTGAGTAATGCAGTCTGTGCCTTTCATAGTAGATAATTACATAAAACAAGTGTATGATGTTTCAACCTATTCCATTCAGTAGTTTTGAAGAGCAAAAATTTAACCAAAGTGTGAAGGTGACACCCACAATGACACAGGGGCAACTATTCTTTGATTAAGTAAGATAAATATAGAAGGGGGTGGAATAGCAGAGTCAATTTGAAAGAAGGACGATTATTGCAATCATATTCATATTTTGCTATAATCTAACAAGTACTGGCACATTATTTAATATCTGTAGGAGAGAGTAATAATAGTATCTGTTGGAAAAGTGACATTGTGTATATAACATAAAAACAATTCAAATCAATACATCAAACATAAAATAGTCTGGTGGGCATATGTCATGCAGACACATTAGAGCAGCTAGTTTTATTTGCATTTTCTGTAGATTGTTTTACCTCTCCTTTAACACTGATATTTTCATTTGCATCTATTTCCGGTAACACTTCCCCATTTGCCAGTTCATTAATCTCTTTCTTAGACTGTGCCTCAGTGATTGCACTATTTTTATCATTATTTTGTACACAAGTCTGTGATCCAGTCAAAAAATCAGACTGCTCCTCTGATTTCTCCCTGTCACAACTTGACTTGTTTATTGCACTGTTTTCATCAATATCACCGCTAGACTGGTTTACAGCACCAAGGTTTATTTCCCTCATATTCCCAGATTCCTCAACACTAGTCAATCTATCAAAATCTCCAGTCTTCGATCCCTTAAAAGAGTTACTTTTTGCTAATTTTAGACTGGTTCCAGATGCCTCAGAACTGCTGGATTTTATACTGTCACAGTCTGAGTTATCACGATTTAAAATTGCTATAAGACTGGTACTGCTACGCTTTCCTTCTATGATTTCAGATAGTGTCCTGTTTAGACTTTCAGGATCTTCAATATCGTCATCATCATCATCATTATCATTAAACTCATCATCTTCTACTTTACTTGCTGATCTTGTACTAGAAGAGGAGGCTGAGGTATTAGGAGATTTGGGGGAAGCTGCCATTTTTAATTGCATGACCTGGAAAAAACAAACAAAAAAAAAACATTATAAAGTATGTTTTATACCCCTAACCTTCTGGTTATTTTTTTTTCATGGTTAAACCCGTCAGGTAAACATGTCTTATCTTTCTATTTGCTCCAGAAACAGGTTCCTGTATAATATATTTTGGGATTATGAATTATTTGATTTGCTTTTTTTTATGTTTGACATTGAAATAAAAATTGTTCGAGTTAACAAATTATATATGTAGTATATCACATTTGAATTTAAGGTAAAAAACATATGTTTTTTATGTGTAAGTATTTTAGAGTAAGTCATTTTTTGTGGATTTATCAGATGCAGAAATAAGTCATTTTTTGTGGATTTATCAGATGCAGAAAACATGTGTTATGAAAAGATAGAAGAAAGGTCAATCCTACAATTATTGTAAACAATATCAAAATTTTTTGAGAACACAATAACTCTTTAAAGGAACTCCAGTGAGCTCTTAAATCCTAAAAACATAGAATTTGAATTTCTTGCATAGATAAGCTGGATAATGCAAAAAAAACAACAAAAAAACAACAAAAAAACTGACTCAGAAATAAAATTAAAATTGTATTTTTGTTCTATTTTCGGCCAATTTCAGTGCACACAATTTTGTTCATTTTTTATAATTAGATTGATTATTCTGGAAAAACGGTTTCAGAAAATGATCTGAAGTTTTGCACGCACAATTTACTTATCTAGACCTGCATCAAAAGGAGCATTAATATGGAAAAATTATCTTCAGTCCAATCATGTCAAAGAACCTCAGTGGAGTCCCTTTAATATTCAAAGTTATCAACATTTAAAATTATCAATAACTGATAACAAATATTCAAAGTTATCAACATTATAAAACAAATATGAGCTGCGTCATGACAAATCCAACATAATGGGTTTGTGACCAGCATGGATCCAGACCAGCCTGCGCATCCGTGCAGTCTGATCAGGATCCATGCTGTTTGCTTACAAACTCTATAACAAGTAGAGAAACCGATAGCGAACAGCATGGATCCTGATCAGACTGCGCGAATGTGCAGGCTAATCCGGATCCATGCTGGTTGCAAACCCATTATGTATGTTTTGTTGTGACGCAGGCTAATCCGGATCCATGCTGGTTGCAAACCCATTATGTTGGTTTTGTTGTGACGCGGCTCATATGATAATTTACTTATCATTTTTATGCTGAAAATAAAATAATAACTTCTTTCTAAAATACGAAAAATATTTCTCCTATACTCAAAAAATTAAGGGTGGGTGAAAAATAACTTAAAAGTATGAAGTGAAGTGCTTGTTTTTGACTTTGTTAAAGATAAGTCTGTGCTGAGAGGAATGGAGAAGAGGGAGAAGGGGGCAGGGCATGGATGACATCTAAAAAAGTTTACAAAAATATAATGTACAGATAAATTACTTTAATGATTGAATTTTCTTCTCCTAATTATCCCTTGCAGACAAAGTTTTCGGTTATTGTCTTAAACCTCTTTGTCATACCAAATAATAAAATAATAGGTTATTTTATTCAATTTAAAATTTGTTTGGTGTTTCAGAATGAGCATCAAATAACTAAACATGTAACAGCAGGCCTAGACATTAACTTTTGAATCAGGTTGTCCTGTCGGGCAAGTAGTTTTTAAAACTATTTGCCCGTGACCTAAGACTTACTTGTCCTGACCTAAAAATGGTAAAAATGTATAAATCAGAAAAACAAACAAGCTCATAAATATTTTTTGTATTTAGAGTGGGTGGACCAATGCTCGGCGTATACCAATGCTCGGCGTAAAATAGTTTTTCTGTACGAATATCTAAAAATATTTAACAGAATACCCAATTAAGGTCACCGGTTCTTTTATTTACATTAATCGCGATTTTATCCTGGTGCGGTTAACTTCCGTCGAAGTCACGTGACCACGGTATAGCAGACGACGGTCTGAATAAATTCCGTACCGATCTCGAGTTGTCTTGTTTTACATACAATATCTGCCATTAAACAGGTAAAAATTTAAGGTTTTTTTTATTAATAAGGAAGAGAAATCAAATTTCAATGTATTTTCATGTTTTCTTATAAAAATTCACAGTTTAAATTTAACAAACAGCATGGATTTAATTTTATACGGACCCCTCCATCTACAATGCATATTAACATAGATATACCCTGTTCTTTTGTACTTCAGCAGTAGATAGTCTTTAGAAATGTGAATTTGTGACTTTATTTGTTTTAAAACAAATTTATTTCTTAAACGATAAACCCGAATAAACTATTTTACAACAATTCACAGAAAAAATAACTAAAAATATCTAAACCGCACCTTTTTATCCTGCTTTATTATCGTAGTGTCCAGTCAGAATTATAAATCATGATTTAAATCCTATTTGCAACTTGTTCATTGTTTGATTCAGAAATGCCACGACAACAGAAAATTCACGATAGTGGTCAGATGGCAAAAGCTGTGGCCGCAGTAAAGAGGGGGATATCTGTCTACAAGGCATCCCACTTGTATGGAATTCCTCAATCCACACTGAAGAACCATACCAGAGGGCGTTACAGAGGGTTAGATACTTCTTTTGGACGTACACCAATAATAACATCAGAGGAGGAAGCAACACTTGTTTCCTATATACTTTACATGTCTGAAAGAGGATTTCCTCTGTCAAAGAAAATGGTTCGAAACCTCACAAGAGAAGTAATTATGGCCTCAGGTCGAAATACTGTTATAAACACCCAGAAAGGACCTTCAAACAAATGGATGAGGAAATTCTTCAAAAGACACCCAGAACTTTCGATTAGAAATGCTCACAGCCTTGATAGAGCTAGAGCTTCTATCACTAATGAACAGTTAAACCAGTACTTTGAATTGTTAGATAATACCCTGAAACGTTTGTCTCTCTATGATGATCCCACGCGTATTTTCAATTGTGATGAAACGGGTTTTAGTGGTAGTTTTTCAAGTTCTGATAAGTCTGTTGTAGCCAAGAAAGGCGTAAGACAAGCTTTTAAAGTACAGCTGTCCTTGTCTGGTCACGTCACTGTAAATTTTGCAGTATCAGCTTCTGGCCAGACACTGCCACCATTAATCATTTTTTCTAAAAATCTTCCCAGGGCCTCCTTCTCTGATGGGTTACCTGATAACTGGTTGTTCGAGACCACAGATTCTGGTTTCATTAACACAGATCTCTTTTGCCTGTGGTTTGAGCAAATATTTCTCCAGTTCTGTGGAAAAAGACGACCTTGTTTGCTAATCATGGACAACCACTTATCCCATGTGTCAGGTAGGGTAGTAAACCTAGCTATGGAGAATGGTATTGATCTCCTGTATTTCCCTTCCCATTCATCCCACTTACTGCAACCTTTAGATGTGGGGTATTTTCATGTTTTGAAAGCAAAGGTAAGTGAAATTTTGTCAGGCCTTGGTTATGCTGTCACTAGATCTCTGCCTCGGCATTTGTTTCCAAAGGTTTTGCACCAGGCTATGAACAGGATTACGCCTGCAACTGTTGCTGCTTCTTTTTCTGCCACAGGAATATACCCCTATAACAAGTCTTCTGTTAAGGCTTTGGCAGGTCCTGTAAAGAAAATAAAAAATGTTCAGTCCACATCTAGCACTACTGATGTGTCAAAAGATGCACCAGTTTCAGGCCATGTTCCGAATATGCTTGTTAAAATCGGGATGGTACCCGAAAGTCTTGCTAAAGTTTTTCTAGAACCACCAGCACTAGAGCCTTCCAAAAAACGCAGAACCACATATGATAAGGCAAGGGTTGTTGAATCTAAACATACAAAAAAGTCTGAAGGTCATTTAAAGAAAGTTAAATCTGCTGAAAGCCAGTTAAAATCCACTTCTTTATCTCCCTTGCCCGAGTGTGTCTCTGGTACAGCAGTGGTGGCTGATCCTATGTCCGACGATGGTGTCTGTGAAATTTGTATGACCAGCAGACAGTTGTACTGGGTTGGATGTGATAGGTGTGATACCTGGTATCACTATGAATGCCTTCCTTCCTCTGAACAGACAGACGTAGATATAAGTCTTGTTTGTGAAACTTTGTGGCTATGTAATACCTGTCGAAAAACAGAGGAATAGATATGATAACAGATTTGCACAGTCTGACATGATTCTGATAAGACTTTGATACTGATTGTTTTATTTGGAAAAATACATTTTATATCTTAATGAACTGTTTGTTACATTGATATTATATGTTCAAACTTAGTTATATGTGTAATGTCCGTGTTATGTTTCGAAAAAAGGTTGAAAAGAAAACAATATTTGAAAGTTTATGAGACATGCATACAGGGGTTGTAAAATGCGCAAAAACTAAAGTAAAAATAAATTTATTAACTAAATTGCTTGTTACAATTTATTAAATATGTTATCTTCATCACATTGGAAAATAAATCTTTCGAAAATCAAACCTGGACCACTTTGTACAGTACGCCGAGCTTTGGTACAATTTCACTTAAACCGCACCTGTTTATCCGGGCTATATTTAGCTCCCGCCAAATACGTCATTATGTGATCAGCGAAATGTAAACAATGGTTATTGGAAACAATATCATCGGTCTTGAAAATGAACATATAACACTAAGGTAAGTTGACGCCAATTATTTTTTTTAATCTAAACTATTGTATTTTTACGCCGAGCATTGGTCCACCCACTCTAGTAGTTTTTCTAAAACATCGGTTCATCTGTTTATTCAATGTGAATATACTACGGTCATGTACATTTGTTGATATAGGAAACGGAAGGAAAAATATGAGCATGCGCCGCGGTAAGGAAATTCCCCGTTCAATCATCAAGTCAACAGCCGTAAACGAGTCTTTGTTTACTAAGTTCATAATGTTGTTATATTAGATTATACAATAAATCATTTTTAATGCAAAAACTTTATTTAACAATTATATTTAAAGATCAATATGATTATCTACATATTTTCAATGATATCTTTACATGCAAACATCAAAATTTAAACAACAGCATAACCCGGGAATTACCTTGTACAAAATTAGATATAGTCTATTATTAGAACAGAAAATTACCTTACCGCGGCGCATGCTCATATTTTTGCTTCCGTTTCCTATATCAACAAATGTACATGACCGTAGTATATTCACATTATTGATAATAATTCATGGTGTATTTTTGTTTTAAAGATGTTTATAAATGAAAAGATGTTATTTCTATTCATTTTGTACATGCATTTTGTCAATGATGCTTTTTATTTTCACTTGCCCTGTCGGACAAGTGCTTTTCAAAATAACTTGCCCGGACCAAACTTTTAGTTGTCCCGGGCAGTCGGACAACCGTTAATGTCGAGCCCTGTAACAGTTTATAACATGATTGTAATCTATAACCCATCTTAACATTCTATATCCCTGAACTTGTGCCTAAATTTTTTATAGGATTTAAGAACTAGGGTAAGACACTGTATGATTTAGGAGTTCACATTACAACAGATTTCCTTCAATAAGAAAGATAACTCTTGATTTACCTCTTCCTGAAGATCATAAATGGTGTTCTCCAGGTCTTGTTTACCTCCCTTGGATTCTAACTGATCTGCAGCTAGCACCTCTTCTCTCTGTATAATAAATATATTAACATCAAGAGATATTGAGATGATATATCATATTTTATACAAATGTGTTCCTTCTTTACTTTGTAAATATAAAATTTAAGACGACATCCCACAAAAATGTATAATAACCACCTATTACGTGGTTATACAAGCTGTCTGGTTTAATTTTTTTTCTCAGAACTCTTTCCATGTAGTCCAAAATAGCTAGCTTACAGAACATCGGTTGATTTACTCAGGTGCCCTTGCAGCCTAAAACCCAGCCCCCCCCCCCCCAAAAACAATAGCCGGTTGAACCAGGTGATGCTCCCCAAATAGGTTTTGGACACAGAAAAGTACACCTCTTATAGTTTCAGAGTTATGTCTCGGACAAAGTTCAAAGTGCAATAATTCCAAAATTAGGCAAAGATAGAGTTACTGTTCTTTGCACTGCACTTCTACTCAATGAGATCTTTCTACCAACTAGGTTTTATTGTTGATATCATTTATAGTATCAAAGTTATGTTCAGCACAATATTCAAAGTGAATAAATGAATAAAGGGCAATAACTCCAAAATTAGGCAAGGCAAGTTACGGTTCTTTTGCACTGCTCATCTACCAAATGAGATCTATCTAGTGACTAAGTTTCTTGTTCATATCTCTTATAATGTTATCACTCATTCAGACACAGATTGTGTTATGAAGTCACAACAAAAAGCATGTAATTTTTAAATAACAAATCAAATAACATAAGGAGTTTAACTGACAAAGAGAAAACATACCTGTATTTCAATTTGAGCTATTTTCTGTTTTAGTTCACCAACTAACTGGTCACTCTCGGCCTCTCTTATTCTAGCCATCATACTTTCCTCCCTCCTCTATAATGATATTATACATTTAACAATGAAATATAAGGACTTAAAAAAGTGAGATATAAACTATATTTTTCACTACAATATATCAATCTCTTCAATTATAATGAAGACCAGTATCATCATACATTACCATATGATCTCCTCAAAAATAATTATATTTCATCAGTGAAATATAATCTATATCACTCCCTATGACAGTTCATAATTTCTCCAAAGAAACAATGAAATAATATAAATTATATAAGATATATTTCACCAATGAGATATACTTACCATCAATGTCCAGGTCTAAATTAAAATGAAACAGCAACAGTTTCAATTCTTAATTTTTACAATTTGTAAATTGAAAGTGCATCATATCACTTTTAAGGTTTCTTCCTTTGATTTGACAATTATATGAAACAATTTAAAATAACACAATTAACCTCCAGAAAAAGCTGAAAGCCTCTCTAAGGCAGGATCAGTCTCTTTATCAAATTTTTACGTATAATGTTAGCTACTCACCTTGGATTCTAAATCATCAATCTTTCTAAGTAGAGTTTTAATTTGTTTACTTAATTCCTCGTCTGACTTAGAATGCTCTTCAATTTCACTCTTCAATCTTTTATTTTCATCATCCATTCTTCTTATCTGATTGTTACAGATTTGATTCTGAAAAAAAAAATCAGAAACCCCTTTTCTTAAATTTTTGCTACTATACAAAACATACCCAAATTTTACCAGTGAGATGTGATTATATATCCCATATAGTATATATCTCATTGTGTATCACCCACTGTTTATCTCTCCCTATTATATCACTCATTTTATATCACTCATCCTACCTCACTGTACATAATTCTCTACAAATAACAAGTGTATGTCATTTATCGTATATCACTCAGGGTATATCATTAACTGTATACTACTAACTGTTTATCAATAATTGCATATCACTAACTGTATATCACTAATTGTTTATCACCAATTACATATCACTAACTGTATATCACTAATTGTTTATCACTGATTACATATCACTTACTGTATATTGCTCACTGTATATCACTTATTGTATATCATTAACTATATATCACTAATTGTATATAACTAACTGCACATGTATATCCCTTACTGTACATCACTAATTGTCTATCACGGATTACTTATCACTCACTGTATATAAATCACTTTATATAACTGATTGTATATTACTAACTGTATATCACTTATTTTATATCACTTATTTTATATCACTTACTGTTTATCACTAATTGTATATCACTAACTGCACAAAAATAAGTGAAAGAGAATCAAACATGCACCTCTTTTATCCTTTGAATACTTTCGCCCTAAGGGTTAAAAAAACAAACAATAGAAAAACCTTTATCATTTACATTTGTTATCAAAATGTTAATTTTTACTTAAAGTCAAGAGAAAACAAGAAAAAGAAAACAATGATCACATACCGAGAACATAATTTACTCATACAGTGAATAAAGTAATGTTTTACAGATGTAGTAAATCACTACTCACCGATGTTTCAAGTTCCATAACTCTTTGTTTTGCATCTTTCAAATGGGACAGGGCACCTGCTTCCCTGAGTTTGGACGTCATAAGCTCTTCTTGTGTGCGTTTCAGCTCAGACTTCAGCTCACTTTTGTTATTCTTCTCCTTCGGGGATGAGACAGGGTCAACACTTGCAAGGTGATTCTATTAGGATGAAAAAAAACATTTTATGTATTTAAATAAATAACTATTGTGTCAAAAGACGTGATGTACACACAGGAATGTTGAAAATTAACATCTGGGGACCATTTCATCATTCTATTCAAGACCATTTCACATATACCCTGTTTTATTTACTCAGTGACTGACTGTTAAACATATTAGTGACTGACTGTTTAACATATCACTTGTCTTTTTGTCCTTATATGTCCCTCTGGCCTCATTTGTCCATCCATCCTCATTTGTCCCTCTGTCCTCACTTGTTGCTCTGTCCTCACTTGTCACTCTGTCCTCACTTGTCTCTCTGTCAACATTTGTCACTCTGTCCTCACTTGTTCCTCTGTCCCCACTTGACACTCTGTCCTCACTTGTCTCTCTGTCAACACTTGTCACTCTGTCCTCACTTGTCTCTCTGTCCACATTTGTCACTCTGTCCTCACTTGTTCCTCTGTCCCCACTTGTCCCTCTGTCCCCACTTGTCTCTCTGTCCACACTTGTTAATCTGTCCTCACTTGTCACTCTGTCCTCACTTGTCCCTCTGTCCTCATTTATCTTCTCTATCCTCACTTGTCCCTCTGTCCTCACTTGTTGCTCTGTCCTCACTTGTCTCTCTGTTCACACTTGTCACTCTGTCCTCATTTGTCCCTCTTTCCTAACTTGTCACTCTGTCCCAACTTGCCACTCTGTCCTCATTTGCCACTCTGTCCACAATTGTCACTTTGTCCTAATTTGTCCGTCTGTCCTCACTTATCGCTCTGTCCACACTTGCTACTCTGTCCTCATATTCTCTTTGTCCTCACTTGTTCCTCTGTCCCCACTTGTCCCTCTGTCCTCACTTGTTGCTCTGTCATCACTTGTCACTCTGTCCTCATTGTCCCTCTGTCCTGACTTGTCTCTCTGTCCTCACTTGTCTGTCTGTCCTCATTTGTCCCCCTGTCCCCATTTATCGCCCTGTCCACACTTGTCACTCTGTCCTCACTTGTCCCTCTGTCCTCAATTGTTAATCTGTCCACACTTGTCACTCTGTCCTCATTTGTCCCTCTGTCCTGACTTGTCTCTCTGTCCTCACTTGTCTGTCTGTCCTCATTTGTCCCCCTGTCCTCATTTGTCGGTCTGTCCACATTGTCCCTCTTTGCTTACTTGTCACTCTGTCCTGATTTGTCCCTCTGTCCACACTTGTCACTCTGTCCTCATTTGTCCTTCTGTCCACACTTGTCACTCTGTCCTGATTTCTCCCTTTGCCCTCATTGTCACTCTGTCTTGATTTGTCCATCTGTCCTTACTTGTCGGTTTGTCCACACTTGCCACTCTGTCCTCATTTGTCTCCCTGTCCTCATTTGTCTCTCTGTCCTCACTTGTCATTCTATCCTCAAATGTCTCTCTGTCCTCACTTGTCGTTCTGTCCTCAAATGTCGCTCTGTCCTCACTTGTCACTGTTGTATCTCATTTTTTACACATTGATATAGAAATCCCTTAAAGTCTCAATTTACAGTTTTATTTGAAAGGCAGGTCAATCCTGGAAATAACTAGTGGTAACATTGTCCAATAAAGGTAAGCTATGAAACAGTTTGACATTACTCAAGTATGTCTTTATGTTAGATAAACCATTTCTTTGTTTTTCTTTCACCTGCCATAATGGAAAGTGATTTGCCTTCATCAACAGTATAGAGCCAGGCCAGCCTGCAAATCTTAAAACTTCATATCAAGGCAAACCTATTAAGTCATGGACAACAGCTTCTAAATACAAAATACTCAATGGGCTTCTAAAATTTCTTACAGACATTTAAAACCCCATTGCAATTTTGTTTGTTTGAATGGGTTTTACTTCACACCAACACAGTATAAGTCATATGATGATGTTCCAGTGCCTAGGAAGACCTCAGTTGCCCTTCTGAGCATTATTTCAGGCACGAACAGGCACATGAGTAGAACCACGATGTCCCCTAAGCTAGCTGTATAGCTAGCTTCCTTACATGAAAAAATCCAAAGTCCCTGTCAGGATTCAAACCCACAGCAGTTTTGTCAAGTAGTTTGAAATCAAAGACCTTAACCATCACTGACTGAACTTGCTAAAATCCAACACTGTCACAATATCAATTAAAATGATTACACACAACAAATTATAAGACTACCTTATACATAACAAATTCTTGATGATCAAGATTATATTTACCTGCCAATTAGACTCAAGGTCGGTAATAATCTGTCTCATTTCCTTTAGTGAGAGGTTTGCCTCTGCCTCACGTAATTTGACGGCAATAAGTTCCTCTTGTAAACACTGAACATCATTACTAGGGGCCTGCTGTAGACGAGTGTTCAACTGAAATAATTTGAGTTTGAGAGAATTTACTAGATTAGAAAATTTCTTTTAAGTTTTAACCAGTTTGGGTATAGTAAGAGTTTTAGCAATTTAATGAGGGGAAGAAAAAAACTTTTGCTTCCCTCCTCTCCCTGTAAAAACCATATAGCATGTGTATATTTTGATATGATATGTCAGTTTGCATTACACACACATAGCCTAAACATACAGGCAAATGGTATATTTTGATGTGATGTCATGCATTACACACACACATAGCATAAACATATGCACTAAAGTATATTTTGATGTGATGTCATAATGTTTTACAAACACATGGCATAAACATAAGCAATAATGGTAGCATTACAGTATAAACATGTCTATAAAACAATATTCCTTCTGACTGAAAAATGTTTTAAATTTCGATATGTGATAAAACAAGAATATTACATTCCTTTACCATCATACCTTAATTTATTGAACATGTTGAACAAAAAATATTATCACCAAAGGCTAGCAAAACATAATTCTATCTGCCTTGCTTAATAAATTCAGTATTGACTGTAACTCTATCAATATCCCCTTTATATACCTATGTGCTTTTTCCGACAAATTCACTGATTTTAACTTTATTCAAGTCACTTGAGCAACTTGTAAGTACAGTTAAGTACAACATGTGTTGATATTAGTTTAAATGCATTAATTACCATTCACCTTCACAAAAATACAGTTACTAACACACCACCAGTGCAATTATACATCAGATTCTATGTGCTACAAAGGTCTCGGTTAAGACAAAATTATCTTAGGTTTATTGTGACCAAAAATTTGAAAATTATTTGGACCACACTCAGGTCTGTTTCCATGACAAACAGTACAGGTGCCATAAGAGTGAATATGGATGAATCTGCAACAGGAATTATAATTCATGATTCCTGGAAAAAGAGGCTTCAATACTGATACTGCAGTGGGACTCAAGATTCATAGCCCCTGGATAAAGAGACTTCAATGACAATCATGTACTTCAACAAAATTTATGAGTTATCTTACTTGTTCAAGTTCATCAATTTTGGTTCGTAGACGTTTAATTGTGTCAGAGTTCTCGGCTTCTCTCAGCCGCACCATGATTAGTTCCTCCTGTAAGCTTTGAATCACAACTTGGGCCTCCCCCTCGTCCAGAGACGATGCCGAGTGTATGCTATCAGTCTAAAAATAGAACAATTGCATAGTGTCTAAAAATATAACAATTACATTGTGTCTAAAAATAGAACAATAACATTGTTTTATAGCTTTGGTCATATTACATCTTATCACATAAAACACGCGTAGAAGTATAATAAAGACATTTGCGTTATATACATTTCTACCACTTTTCACACTATTCTTCTATAAAATAAATAGGAAATCTGTTACATGATAATATATGAACAACATGCAAAAGGAATGATTACACGTCATATGACATCAAATATGACATCATGTAAGGAAATCTAAGTCTACGCTCATATTTTTATCAATTCTCTTTTAATTAACATGTTAGACTGGAAATAAATATTTATTTTCTTGCATTATAGTATGCAAAAGTAAAATAAGAAATGGACTCAGAAATAAACAGTAAATCATACTTTTGGGCTATTCTTAGCCCAATTTGGGTCATTTTTCACAATTAGAATAATCATTCTGGGAGAACGGAGTTAGCGAAAGATCCAAAATTCTGCACACAAGCGGCTGATGTAGACCTTCATCAAATGAATTTCTTATCTTGAAAAATAATTCCCAGTCACATCATGTTTAAAGAAAACAACATCAGTTAAGACTGTTTATTTTCTAAAACAGGCATTTATTAGTTCTTTCAAAAATAATTCTTGTCAAAGTATAATATTTTAAAAGAAATCAGTGTGTTTAGCATCAATATAATGGTAAAATGAAATAACATCTAATCAACTATAATTCTCAGAACTTAAGGTAATGAAAACAAGAGCTGTCCGTAAGACAGCGCGCTCGACTTTTTTATTGCTTGCCAATAAAAAAAGTTTTTGCAGTAAAAGGCAATACAAGAATCTCTGTATTTTTAAAGTGAACAATGGCCATGAGCATTAAGATATTTAGTGACAGTTAAGGGCCATAATTCAAATAAAATCTTTGACAGAATTACCTTCTCCTGGACATGTTTGGGAATCATGATTGTAAACAAGTATTCCAACTTTCAAATTAATATCTCAAAACAGTTCAGTCAAAAAGTGGACTGGTACTAAAAACTTAACCAAGATTCTAAGTCGATAAAAGGCCTTAATTTTTAAAACAAATCCTTTGACAGAGTTACCTTCTCTTGCGTACAGATGGGGGTAATGATGTGAAATAGCATTAAAAGTTTCAAAGCAATATCTCAAAGGGTTAAGGCAATAAGTGGATTTTACCCATATTCAATGTATTTTCTAAGTCAAAAAAGGGGCATAATTCTGTCAAAAACCTTGACAGAGTTATGTCCTCTTGTCTGTTGATGAAGGTCGTGATGGTAAACAAGTATGGTCAGTTTCAAAGCAATACCTCCAATGGTTTTGAAATAAAGTGAGGTGGTACAAAAAACTTAACCAAGCTCAATACACTTTCTAAGTCAAAAAAGGGCCATAATTCTGTCAAAAACCTTGACAGAGTTATGTACTCTTGTCTGTAGATGGAGGTTATGATGGTGAACAAGTATGGTAAGTTTCAAAGCCATACTTGTAATACTTCTGAAATAAAGTGGGGTGGTACGAAAAACTTAACCAAGGTGTGACGCCAACGCCGACGCCGACGCCTACGCCGGGGCGAGTAGGATAGCTCCCCTTTTCATTTAGAAAAGTCGAGCTAAAAAGGACAATATCAGGGAAGGTGACATCTTATGCCTGGGCAAGTACATTATACCCTTGCTTTATCTATTGATAAACATATTAAATCCAAGAGAAGTTTATCAATCTTTATACTTACCCTTGTTTTATCTATTGATATAAAACAGATTAAATCCAAGAGAAGTTTATCAATCTTTATACTTACCTTTGCTTTATCTATTGATATAAAACAGATTAAATCAAAGAGAAGTTTATCAATCTTTATATTAACCCTTGCTTTATTTATTGATAAACAGATTAAATCTAAGAGAAGTTTATCAATCATCGCACTTACCCTTTCTTTGATATCACCTAGAAGTGCCTCTGCGTCTTTAAGCTGTTTTTGTGAGAGTGAGTATTTTTGTTTGATTAGAGACAGTTCATTCTTGAGAGCGTAAGTTTCCTCTGCCTCCTGGGCTCGCGTTAACTGGTACTGGATCAGCCGATCGGCCAGCGATGCTGATTCCTAAAATGCATACCATATGAGCAGTGCCATGACAAAAACAACATAGTACATATGCGACCAGCATGGATCAAGACCAGTCTCACAGTGCATCCACGCAGTCTGGTCTGGATCCATACTATTCGTTTTAAATTTCTCTACTTGTAATAGGGTTTGTAGGTGAACAGCATGGATCCCGATCAGACTGCGCGGATGCGCAGGTTGGTGTGGATCCATGCTGGTCGCAAACGCACTTATAATGTTGGTTTTGTCATGGCGCTGCTCATATTATTTAATAACAATCATCTGTCACTAGATAAGTGACTGCCGTTTCCAAAAACTAAACAAAATTATTTTTACGAATTTCAAAAGCTTGTCAATATGTTTTCATTTGAAAAACATGTTTCCCTTTCAACTTTTATACAATAAATATTAATCTAAACAAGTTTAAACTGGGACAAGAGAATGCAAATGTTGCTTGATAAAAATGGTGTATGCTTAATTTCTAAAAAATTCATTTTTATCTAATTTGCATAAAGTCAAATACATAAATGGTGCCATCAATTAACCAGGTATCTGACAAAATTCTGATGTACTCACCATCTTGTCTGATACCAAGCTAATGTACTAAGCTACTAGTCTGGTACCAAGCTAATGTACTCAACTACTTGTCTGGTACCAAGCTAATGTACTCAGCTTACTGGTCTGTACCAAGCTAATGTACTCAGCTACTGGTCTGGTACCAAGCTAATGTACTCAACTACTGGACTGGTACCAAGCTAATGTACTCAGTTACTGGTCTGGTACCAAGCTGTATTTAAAGATTTTTGTGAGACCTCTCAGCCTAAGGGCTAATAATTAAGACAACAAAATATTGTTTTACCTTTTCCAGATTATCAATTCGTTGTCGTAAAAGCCGGTTTTCTGTGCGTAATCTCTGAAAAAAGAAGACAATATCATTTAGTCTATTTAAGTCATAAGCTACAAAGTCTGAAGGTAACATTCTTGTTTAGAAACAATTATAGCACAAAATTTGACAACCAACCTTAGATTATAGTACAATTGACAAGACTAATTTAAAAAATTTTGTTGCCTCTTTTAAATGATTTAATATTGTGCACCATTGTTCAATATCAATAAATACCTCTATTTCCACTGACATCCCTACAGGTAACTCTGATCCAGTTATAAAATCACTTGTGGTATTGGATTTCAATACTATCTTTAACAACCAAATTTACAATACGAAATTGACTTCCAAATAAATACTCCTTAACTGAACTAAATATGAATTCAAACTAGTGTGCTTAAGCCCTACATATAACACACTATAAATAAGGGTGTCTTGAGCATTTTAGGTATTTTATTTCCATGTGTTATACTGGGTAAACACACACAACACAAACATTAATGTGTACATATTGATCACATTTATACACTTGCTATAAAAGGCAGTGATTCATTCATTCATTAAATCTTAACCTGTAGTCTGGATTACCTGCCCCTTCATATGTATTTGGAAGTATGCTGGGAACTAGACTCGAATTACGCTGGGAACCAGACTACCTTAACCTGATGCATTTATGTAATGGATTTGCCCTGCTTTGTTATCTGGAACAGTCCATTCAAAGTTTAAGGGATTTCAATATCAAAATTGAGCTACCAAAATTTGATCAGACTGCACTGACGTGCAAACGTGCCTAGCTCTACGCTTGAGCTTGGGCTTTAAATTTCTTATGGCTCTTTTAAGCAGGTAAATGGTTTATATGTTCATATATGTTCATATATTGTAGTAAAACTGAACTGTTAAACATTTCAAGAGGTTTGCCCACATGATTTACTGATCTTGTTAGACATATCATGTTGTAACCCTAAACCATCTCTATTTCTTAAATAGACTTGTCTGCCTTTAAATTTTTTGGAATTGTGCATTATCAATAAAGGGGGTATATATCAAGACGAAATTTTGTAGTTTGTCTGCCAACATTATACGGCCTGGTCAGACTCAGCACAGATGTTCAGACTCGCCTCAGGTTCAACATAGCAGATATTGATTAAGACTAATCAGTTTTGGTTCTAGCAGATAAATGGTTTAAGAATACAATTTCAATGATGTTTGTCAACAAATAAGACAGACTATGAAAATCAATATGATACAAATTTAAACCAGTTAAAACCAGTACAGACATTTTTAAAAAAAAATCTTAATTGAAAAGTTTTATTAATAAACGGCAATAATTTATCTCAACTATTAGGCTCATATTACATGAAGTCAAACATAACTGTTGACTTAAGGATATATATGATATATGAAATGAAATATATAAAGAAAGATGAAATATTAGTTGAAATAACCATTTTTTTCACAAGGGAGGTAATTCTGCATAGAAGTAATAAATGGTAGTAATGCAAGAGTTATGTTTGCTTAAAACAGCAATTGTTGTGTCATTTCTAATGTGTCTAATTTCTATTTTATTCATTAACAATGTACTTTTGGATATGTCATTAGTTTTTAAAAGGAGGTTTAAATCCTGAATGGAAGCAATAGCAATATAGAATGGTAGTAAATTACAGATCAATAATTTAAAGCAGCTTTGTAACCTCCAGATTCATGCTTATTCTCATGAATATTTTAAAAAGTATACAGAAGTAAGATATTGTATAGTGAACAAAGAAAATAATGAACACATTGCAAACAGCTCTGGAAATCCATGTAAATTACCAAGAAGTCAGGTTAAAATACTTCAAAATAACATACACTGTGTTTTCATAAGTAGCACTGTATAAAATATAGTGATAAATACTTCAAAATCAGTCCTTAATGAATCTCACACTACATGTAAATTATTACTTGAATCTTAAATCTTTTTACTTTTCATAAGATCATTATCCTAGTATATTTTTCTCTTCAGTTTAATTTTCTTGAAATATTTTTACTCATCTGGAGACATGATGCTTTAAGTGAGAATTATATTTGCTTTACCAGCATTCTCAAGTTTTGGCTGTACAACATAAAAGAATTGTGAAAAGTCTTCGTCTAAACTTACCCTTAGTTCAATTTGATCTTCGTTTTCTTTGCTTTTTAAAGCAGTATACTCTTTCTCTAATCTGAAAATATAAAAGATAAAAAAATACATATATATATAAGTTAGGTTTAGTTAAAGGGAGACACAGGCAAAATTTTCATTTCATCGTTTTGATTTTTTCATCCATTACTCTGTCAATGTCCTCAAAATAAATAAACTAGGCAGTCATAGGAACAAAACTTTTCTCCTTATAAAGAATAAAATGCTGGCTTCCTAACTTAATTGACCCGCGTGGGTCAGGTTAGAGTGTTAAGATATCACATAAGTTCCCACAGTGAACTATGGAAACGTTAAAGAACATGTCAAATGAATGACTTAGACTTGTTTCAATCATTCAATAACCACAAAATCTGTTATTGTAACTTCCAGGGTTTGTTCAAGTCACATGGCTTGTTTTAAAACTATTCGGTGATTCTGTCGGCGTCTAAATTTCGTTCAATACATCTAGATATATTTACGCTTCAAACCCAAAATAAATAGAATTTATACAGAATTTCATGCTGGGACTTTAGAAAATGTCATTTTAGCGTGATTTGAGTACATTAAATCATTTTGATATTTTTGTCATTTATTTGCCTGAGTATCCCTTTAATATATAAGTTTTATACTGTATCAAAAAGGAGTTTTGATATGGTGAACAAGTTATAGCAGCTAACAGAGTAGTTTAAAGTGACTGTCCTATACTAATAGCTTTTTAAGGCAACTCTTTATTACAGAATTCAACAAGTTAATATTTTATTCATAATAACCTCGGGGTCTTTCATTAAAATACAATCTATTTGAAAGACCCTGATATATAACTTAAAAGCACACAACAAATAAGTGTTTTTGATCTTAAATATTCATAATGAAACCCCATACAAATGTTCTAATCAAGGTCAAACAGATGCTTTTAAGATAACATACAAGGTATACCATTCTCATCAATATAACATGATCCAAAATTAAATAGCGAAGATAATCCCTCCTATTCTAAACAGGAACTCAAGTATAAAATCAACTCTGAGTCCAAACAAGTGTATCTCTTTTCAAAAGATTTCATCCTCAAAACACAAAGGTCACCTTAAGCTGAATATCACCCAGTCAAAGATCACCCTGTAAAATTTCTTCTTCTGTGTCAACTTTTTTCAAAATTTAATTAAGTACAAGTTAAAAGCAGCATGCCTCCAGATTCATGCTAGTTTTTCATGAAAATTTTCAAAATATATTTGAAATAGAAATATTGTGAAAGAAACAAAAAGAAAGCAATTTACACATTTACAAACAGCAGTGACACTGAACGCACGCAAAATGATGTCAAAATAATTTTTCAAAAAGCCTTTAATGCATTTTTTATTTAAGTAACACAGTAGAATATGATAGAAAATACTGATAAATCAATCATTAATCACACATAGCATGTACAATAATACCTATTACTTAAATCTTGAATTGTTTTACTTTTTTCTAAAATCTTAGTATATTTTTTCTACTTTTGATATTTTGGCTAATCTGGAGGCATGCCGCTTTAATAACTTTTGTCCTTTTTAACAATTAAATCTTTAAGGCCTTTAAAAGCATTGATTCATGATTATTGTGGCCCATACTGAATTCTGTCCTATTCACCTCCCCATCTGGCCCTTAGTTCCCTTAATAAATCAAGGGCCCTTGGTTTTTATAATGTCAATGATAATTATAGTGGTGAAAATACATAAATGATGGTTTTCAACAAATCTAAAGCCATATTGTAAACTATATAAATTTGCAAAAAAAGTTGAGCTGACAAAATTGGGAATTTTTTTAAGTCTTTACAGCTGAGGGCCAATAATCAGCCTGATCCATTCTACGAGAATTTTTAACCACTGAATAGTCTTATACCAACAAAATTGTAAGAAAACGTATAAATAGATTTAAATCTCGGATAAAAAATAATGCACTATCATTTCCTGTAGTCCTATTAAGCAAGACAATGTGCAACATTATCCAATTTGAATATTCTTGAATATTGGTAATATAAGAGAATATTGATTAATTATTCAAGATCACATGACTCAGAAATCCTCTACAAAACATGAGTCAATAAGTCTTGTATAGTTTGTCTGCAGCTTTGAATATCCACTTTCCAGCATATTTAATATTGAAGTTTTCAATAATTGTATTTCATGATAACGAACTGCTTGGGTCACTGTGACTATTGTAGTCAACGACTTTTATTCTGACAAACTTTAATACAAAAACATGCCATTGTGCATTAACATTCAGCCTTTGAAGTTTTAATACAAATTATCATGTCAACTGTTGATCTATTAGTGACATAATAATACCATAATTATACAATAGATTATCTTTCAAAACTGGTCAGACCGGGTGGGGTGTCTGTGGCTGAGTGGTTAAGGTTGTTGACTTCAAAGCCCTTGCCTATCACTACTGTAAGTTTGAATCTAATGACAGGGACTTTGGATTCTTTCATATGAGGAAGCTAACCAGCTTAAGAGACCAATATTCTTATCAAATCCTTATTTTAATTGAAGTAACAAAATTCTGTCCAAAAAAATGTGGTGTAAAATAACGAGGTTACCTGACATTAAACATTGGTTGAGAACAATTCTGATTCTATTGCAATCGTACACAGCTGCAAAACCTGTATCAGACACATCTAGCACCTAGTCCAATATAGGTTTGACAGCTGTGTACTAGTCCACTAGAATTCTGTATTGTATACTCAATAAAAATGTATAATAACCATGTACATGTACGTGTAGTATTTTTATCTATATTTTCAACAGTTATAAATGTACTGTAATGCTGTAAATTAAGGCCGGAAATGACATTCCTGATCATACAATATGACTTTTCTGTATGTTAAGTAAGACGTTTTTGTGCATGTAATACATATGACATTGCACCATTTAACATAACAAAATATCACCAGGTGTATACAATGTAAGTAAATGCACTATGTTCTCATATTTCTATTTTTTTTTAAAAATTGGCGATTATACTTCAAATGCATGTACCTCAAATGCATGTACTGGTATTTGATACTGCTTGGAATCAAAAGTCAACTTGAATTTTTGTTTTTTGAAATATACACTTTTTGCAGTCTATAATAATCCCTACATAAAATAGGCTTCCTGTAATCTGAAGAAAAACCTGGTTTGAGGGAAGGGAAGTGGGGGGGGGGACACAATTATCTATTTAAACAGACTTGATGTCGTAACATACATAATGTAATATAACAGTTTATAATAATGTCCAACTTTTTATTATCCAGCTCTTCTTTACTAATACAGGAATATTTCACTAAATTTTCATGAAAATTCATAATGAGTGAAACCAATTTTATTTTGAAAATATTTATGCGCTGTGCATAAATACCCTGGAATTGAATATGAGACAATAAAGAAGAAAATAATTTATGAAATATTCATGCCTTTCATAAGATTCAGAATCATGTTCATGAATAATTCATGAATATAATGATAATTATACAGTTCATATTAAGTGTTCATGAACAAATCCATTTTCTTGTTAAAACGCATTTTACTTCAAGAAAATGTATTAACTATTCACAAAACTATACTTTATGAGTATCTCGGAAAAAAATCTCATATTGAGTTCAAACATATTCATGAAATATTCATAAATTTAAGCATATTTAAGAAATATTCATGAATTTAAGCATATTCAAATATTATTCATGAATTTAAGCATATTCATGAAATATATTCAAGAATTTTGAATCCATAAACATTCATTAATAGTTCAAGGTAAACTCATGAATTTAAGTTACACTATAATGACACTTATTTTCACAGGGGAATATATTTACTGCAGTTAACTCAGAAATTCTGCTCTATTTAAAAGACTCAGGGGCTATATTGATAATTCATGTAAAAATTGGGAAAATTTGGGAAATCAATAATTATTTTGTTTTTTCCCAATTGAACTGTATGTAGAGAGTACCATTATTTTTTTCTGAAGGAAAGATAAATGAATCCCTGAGTTGTAATCATAACTATAGGCTGGTTGCAGTTATTCATTGACTATCAGTATAAGAATTATGTGTTTCAGGTCATAAATTTATATATACTAAAAAAAAATCATTCTATATTTCTATATAATTATCTAAGTGTATGACACTTTCTTTTTATTACTAAATAATAATCAGGTGTGATGAATGTTCAAACACCTTGTCTATATAAACACATAGTCATTTACAGCCATCTAAAGTACTATATACTAGCTGTGGTTTCTATCAAATTAAGTTGGTTATAAAAGTTAATGTCCATGTTTATATTAAGCAATTTCATGATACCAGCAATATATAGAAGATTTTATGACCACTTTGACCTCTGAAAAAATGTCAAATATTTTTGACAATAAACAGTATCAGCACTGGCCAATACAGGTTGATAAAATTGTATAAATCTGCGCCAAAATAATTTCAGAAATCTTTAAAAACAAAAAACATTATATTACATGAACAATTTAAAACTATAAAATAATCTAGTCAATTAATTATGGTCACCTATTATGAGCGCAGTAAAGGGTTAAGTCCTCCTAAATTTTTAATTGGAATTAACCTGCTGAGTTTGTTTGTTTGTTTCATTAATTTTACGCCTTTTCCCAACAGTATTTCAGTCATATAGGCGGGTAGTTTCCTAACCATCGTTCCTGGAGAGTTACACCAGTACTAGACTACCTTCCTCCATGCTAAACTCCCTTGGATCGAACCCACACCAGAAAGGTAACTGGATTCAGAAGTCATCGACTCTAACCCCTCGACCACGGAGGCGGTCTATTTTAGGTAACAATACAACCTTTTGTCTCAGCTGATAATATATAATTTATCTAAAATAATTTGATGCCCAGTCTATTTTTTTTTAAGTCAAATCACAGAGTAACCAGTCTAAAAATCAAATGATTGGCTGATTTAAAACAATCTGGTTTCAAATTGACCAATCATAATATAACTTAATTTTCAGACTTTTAGAACACATAAAATTCATCATTGCTTGGCTACTGTAACACACTAGTTTA